CATGAAGCTGTGTGAAATGAATTGTGGTTTGTGCTTGATAACTGGTTTACTTTTTCCCCTTTCTTCTGTGTTCTTATTGTGCTTAAGTTTTGACTGGTTTTCTGTTGTCATGTTAATCGTCTTTCCTTAGAGGGTGGAGAGAAGCAGCGTTTTTTTACTTAAGGTGGATGAGTTCAGTTTTATGAGTCATATGCAAAACACCAATTGTGGGGGGGAAGGGGTGATGACTTTTATTTGCAGTAAGGCATCTGTTAAGTATAATGATGTCAAATCGGCTTCACTGTTGGGTCAGCTGTTTCTTAACTAGTACCAATTTGTAAACTAAATTTATCTATCAGTTCTTACGGATAAAGTAATTTATTATTCCTATTTTCCTAAATCAATTTTTTCTATACAATTTTATCTGCTTTTTGCTCTACTAAGTAAAAATCTATTCTTAGGGGTTTATGCATAATATAATTTAGTAGAGGAAAACAAATGGAATTTTGTGAAATGTAACATAAAAGGCTACAGAAGGTTATGCAGATTTTGAAAGTATTCTAGCCGTGTTACAGAATCCAAACCAAACTATTCAAACCTAAAAATTCTAAGCGATCATTAAAATTTGCCAGAATATTTTTTCATATTTCACTTAAGAGTGTTTTCTTGAAGTTAGGTTTCCTGCCCTGACAGAAATTGTCTGTGTGACAGTGGGACACTCTACCTGTGATTTGGCTCTACAGGTGCATCAGTATGTGTGCTGCTTGGTACATGAAAGTTTTCTTGCAAATTCCAAGTAAGCTCCCACCTATTCAAATTTAGATGATTGGACAACTGGTGCTGTGTACTGCATATGTCTGTTCCTGGTCTCTAATGCATCCTATTGGGATCTGGCCATCTTACTTTTCATATGAGTTCCTTAGGGGAAACCCCTTTCTTTTATTTTTGAACACAAAAAGATGGCACAAAACATAGAGCAAGCACATTTGGACTCAGGAGTTCACGTGGTACCACAGAGTAAACCACCTGAATGCTAGTTTAAAAAAAAAGGGGGCGGGGGCATGGGAAGGAAAGCACAACACCAGCCGGTTTGCAGCATTAAAAAGAATTTGGTTTGCTCCTCACCTGGGTTATCAGTGATCCTCTTTAGTTGGTAGGCTTTTGTTTCCAGTCTTTTTGCTTTCTCATTCTCATGCCCTAGAGCATTACAGTTTTAGTCACTGCATGACATCTCCTAAATCAGATTTCAGATGAAGTCACAAAGTGAACAGTAAGCCAATCTTCTCCAAAATTCATGTGAGGAAACATTCCAATCATTAGCATAGATTGATAAATGAATACTGACCAGTGTGAAATTAAATTCGCCTTAGCTTAACTCTTTGGCTTTTTTGTTTTGTTTTACCAAGTTAGTTGTTAGTGATGCAAACATGTTATTCATGCCTCTATTCCCAAGTATCCGGCTTTTGAGTTTCGATGAGTAAAGTGGTTTGGAAATAATCCAGATCAGTTCATGCAGAGTCTTTTCATGTTAGTAGGAAACTACTTACAAAGTCTGAGCATGGATTTTGTATGCATTTTTACCCTTAAAAAAGACCATATGTGTCTATACGTGTGCAAGTGTCTGGATATGCATATAAGCAATTACGTCAGTCTAAACTTTTCAGCAATTTACTGTCTTATGTGAATCTTTTGTTTCACATCATCCTACACATTTTATAATAAATTTCAGTTTCCTTTTCCTTTAGGGAAATGCATTTTAGTTTACTTTCTGAGTAGTGGTTTGCAAAGCATACACTGTTCTCTACTGGTTTATAGTAGAGAATCAAAAAACTGTTTTAAAATGTTTTCATATATTCAGTTGGTAACCGTTTTTAGAAAATGATGATTTGAATAACTGTAATTTTATCTAGTCAGGCTAGTCTGATAGTGCTCTAAATTCATCCTGTGATAGATGAAATATTCAAACTGCTTGAAAAAGAAACTGTTTTCCTGGATAAAAGTTCAGTGCAATTAAATTACAACATATAAACCGTGCCAAATTAGGATGTGATGTTAGTGTACTGTAAATGATGCATTATATCAGTGTTTGCCCTCTTCTTTCTTTGAGAAGAATTTAAGCTTGGGTATGTTCTCCTTTTGCATATACTCTCACTAAGGATTCTAAGCATTTTGTGTAGTTCAGTCAGTACTGTAGGTATGGTATATATGTGTCATTAAAAGCAGTTCACTACAATGATGCCTTTGAAAAACTTTATTTTCACCTGACGTCTTTGCAATGCAGTGTGTCATGTTGCATACACTGGTAACTGTTGATGCATGATCACTATGGTGATCGAGGCTGGTCTGTGCTGGCAGGATCTATGTCTTGTTTCAGATCTGGTGAGGGATGCTCAGCGTGCACCTTCTTATAGGTATATATCTGACCTATCTGGGCATGCTTCATGCAGGCAAGGTGGATGGCTGCAGGGATTTCATGTGAGGTGTCAACTGAAAATGTCAGATCTGCAGATAGTGCCCTTTTGGTCAAAAAGTGCAGAAGGTCCTGCCACCATGCACATTGTGCAGGGGGTGAGTTGGTATGAGATGTGCTCTTCCCATGCTCTAAAGCCTTTCTCAGTCTTCCAAAGAGAACTGTTTTGTTTCCATGGATTAGTTCTAGTGGGGCATGGGCTGCAGCACTGTTACTGTCTAACTTGTGTAAGTACCTAACTCAATTTGGGTGCAGACTGTCCTTGCTGGTGAGGTGTAGGCAGAGCTTAGGAGGGAGGATGCAGACCCAGTGTGTGGCATCCCTCTTCCTGTGCCATGTGGCCTCAGCACCAGCTTCTCGCGTAACTCAGCACAGCTTGGCATTTGAGTTGGACAAGTCTGCTGGGTCCCAGAGTCAAGGTTGGAGTCACCAAGACGTGACAAGGCCTCCCATGACAATGTCAGATGCCATGTGGCAGAAATTCACTGCTGAGAGGAGAAGGGTTCCCCTCTTCCCACTTGGTACTAATCATGGAGAACAATGCTGGCTGCTTTGCAAAATATTAGTAGTGCTGTACAAAGTCTGGGCCTCTGCTTATGGCTCGCTGAGTCAGACTTGTTTACTTCATTGAAGTATTAATCTCTGTCTCTGATTGGCAGTCAACAGCTCCAGGCTCCAGGCTTAATAGAATTTTCAAACTGTAGATAATGCAGTTTTGCTGAAAATCTGAGGCTTCTATCCCACTCTGAATGATGTATTCTCTTGCACTCCCCTTTGGTCTGTTTTTCAGGGCTGAGGTTAAGATAGATAATTAATTACTCCCATCCCAAGCCTTGTCTTTTAATTTAAGAATTTTCTTTAGCATCTGCCAGAACCTTCTGCATGCACTCCTGAGAGGGTAAGCAATGGAAGAGCCATTAAATTAACTTCAACCATTAATTTTTTTTCAGTAGGATGAAATAAAGATTCAGTATATCAAGAGGTTTCTGGTTTATTTGATTTCATATCATGGCAAAGAAAATAAATGTGGGAAGAAGAGGCTGATTTTCTGGTTCTGTGGGAGGATGGTGAGTGAGGAGCCCTGTCTTCTGGTCCTGCAGCTTACTTCTGTGTTAGCAAGAAGCAAGACATGAGGAGTGGATCCTATGTTAGAAAAAGGACATGAGGATTGGATTACTGGAGTGAAACAGCTATTGCAAAGAGCCTAATGTCCACACTACGCAACCGGGAAGATAGTGGGGACGGGTTTAGCAATACCTAGCTAATATATCGCTTACCTCAGAAATACGTTGCTGTTGCCGGTAGAGCCATTTCTGAGAATGAAGCAGTGTCAAGCCCTGTTATGCTGTTCTCTGATGTGTTGTGATAAATGCTGTCACTGGTGAGTCACTCCTGGCTGGGGCTCTGATCACCCTCCTGCTAAGCAGCCTGCCCAATTCTTCATGTTCTATACCTGCCACTCTAAGAAACCCGCATGCTCTTTTCACAGGTATAACTTCCCTTTTTGGAGAACTGTGTATCTTGGGGATTTTTCAGCAGTACATAAAAAAAAATAATAATAAAATTAGTACAAATCTTCTGGAATGGTCTCTCTGGCAAACTACACCTACACCTGCTGAAAAGTCCCAAACAGTAACAGCAAAATTGAGCTTATGTGTCAGAAACACAACATAGGAAAAATGGTGTGAAGAAGAATATATGAAGACAGTTTTCCTGGGCCACAGTTGGTTTGCAGTGCATCAATTACAGATCATTTATATACATGTACTGCAAAGAGTGTGTAAGATTTGCCACTGATCTGAGCTGCTCCTTGGTATTATTTCTGTTCATGCATCACTTTACGTAATAATTCTTCCTAAATGATATATGTAAAGCAGTTATATGTTTCAAACCCAGAAAAAAAAACACAAGAGAAAGTAAGGGCAGGCTGAATTGGTCATACAAGCCTATTGAATAACTATTCTCATCACTTCTGTCTGAATAAAATTGGTTTTCACTCAATTTTTATTTTGGTATAGATGCCCAATTTGCAACTGCTGGTAGAAGAAGGTTGCTGCCACCATACCAGAATGTTATGTATTCATAGCTTGCAGATATTTAAAAAATCTCAGTATATGCGTGAGATTCATTTCATTGGACATTAGTTGTTTTAGATGCCTCCAGTTAGTAGAAAGAGTCTCAAGAGGGACTCCTCCCATCCTAAGCTATGTCTCCAAAATTATTTGGACAAATAGCCCCTGGCCATTGACTATGTCTCTGTAGGGAGCCTGAACAATTCATTCAGATGGGGTTAAGTCAGCTGCAGATGGTGAAAGCTGTGAAATTAGATACGATGAAATTCCAAACTCCTTGCGGACGGTGAACGTTATGCCTGATGATCAATCTATTCAGCATGATTCTTCTTATTTAAAGAATTATTTCATGTTACTATTTTTCCACTTTATGGGCAACTGCTTTAGCAAAAGTTGTGCAGAGAGTTCACCACAGCTTTCGATACTGCTCAGCAGGTTCAATTCTGTTGTATTACATGTATTATTTTTGTCTTCTTTAGTCTTCTGGCACCAGTATTACAGTGGATATTGCTGTCATGGGAGAAGCACATGGGCTCATTACAGATCTTCTGGCAGATCCTTCGCTGCCCCCCAACGTGTGTACTTCACTGAGAACAGTGAGCAACCTGCTTAATACGCAGTTAACCTTCCAGGCCATCCACAAACCAAGGGTAAACCCTTTGGTGTCCTTCAGTGAGAACTACACCTGCTCCGACTCAGAGGAATGTCCAGAGAAGGGAGAGAAACTAGCTATCCCCAAGGTGGGTACTGGACCCTGTCTGTTGTCTTGTAACTTGTCTATCCCTAAAGGGACAGCAATGGAGTGTGTCACTGTGCTTTTTGTTTATTTGCTTCAGATTAACATTTTATACACTGATCATACTGTTAATATAAAATGGACAGCTAAGTAGAATTTAGGTTTCATAGTAAGACAATTCCTGTATATCCTTCAACTCATAGCTAGGTTGACTTTGGTTCAGGCATCTTCAGAAGATGATATTTGACACAGGATAGCCGACATCATAGGTGGTATGTGTATTTCCTCTCCTCTCCTATTCGGAGCTTAAGAGAAAAGAAGTGATAGGAAGCAGAGCAAGCCAAAGCCTTTCAGCATCCAGCCTCACAAGTCTGCTCTATTACTTCTCATGCAGAAATTCCCCTCCCACTCAAAGGATTTGAGGCACTGCATGTAGGGTGACTGTTCTAGTCAATGAATGAGCAGTGGAGAATTAAGTAGTAGTATGGGAAACCTTTTTGCTTACTTTGAAGATTGGAATTTGAAAATCCGTCTCTCCTTCCTTCCATTAGCTAGAGGTGTGAAACCTGTAGAAGTCTATGAAAAGGTCTCTCCTGGGGACCTCCAGGTGCTTTGGATCAAGTTTAGAATGTTGTATGCCAAACAAACAGAAGAGATCTCCACAATACTTAGTATGACAAATATTGTAAGCTCATTGTAAGTAAGTTTTGAGAAGAAAAAGAGGACTGAACCAAAAAGATGTGTACATTACTGCCTTGACAGATGGCTTTACAAATGCTCACGAATCCAACAGGAAATAACCACCCACATTTAGTAAATGAACAACTAGAAGGAACACATCAGCTTTGAAGTAGTTTGAATTGTAGGTTTGTTGCTAATTAGCTGTCCTGCAAGGCTTACACTTCACTTTTGAAACTAAACCAAAATACTTTTGGAATTTTGTACTGCAGTTTCCCTTGTAAAATTAAATACAGTCAGAGTACATTGCACAGGCACAAGCTTTCAGCAGTCCAAATGGCACAGCCAGGATTCATTCTAGCATTTCCCGGCATCTGAATTGCAACACTTGTGATTCTTCCTTTAATATATTTCAGTGTGATGATAATAACCACGCTACTTGCTTATGTAGCAGCTGTATGTATGAAAAGGATGTTCACATGTTCTTAAGAGCATTTCCCAGTTTATTTTAGTGTATGTGTCTATCATTGCTGTACTCTAGGCTCTGAGGGGAAAAGTTAAGTGGAAGAACAGTGCCATCACATGAGCAAACACAGCAAACAGATACCAGTTTGCTGTTGCATAATATCTAGTGAGGAGAAAAGAAGTGAAGGATGAAGAAATGAGTTAATGCTACAGAGAATTAATTTGACTGAAGAACTCACTGACCTAAATGTATTACAGTTCATAAGACTAACATTGCAGTCCTTTATTGAAGTGTCTAAATACAGATTTGGGGTCTTTACCTTAACCATCTGACACTGAGCACTTTGGATAGGGAGATGGTATGTTAACATATTTTTCTGTAAGTTTGAGCTTTAGAACTACAAATCTCTTCCATTTCATATCTCTTAGCCCTCTGGCAAAGTCAAAATGCTGCATCACAGAGACTAATTATTTTAGCTCTTACCTGTATAAATACTTCAGAAAAAGTACAGGGGAAATATCTTACAGAATTTTAGCATCTGTAACACCAAATCTGGACCCATAAAGTTTCATCATCTTTTATTACCTCTGACTTCAAAAATTTGGAGGAACAGTGTGAGTCCTCTTAGTGGAGAAAAGGAAGAGTCAGGTGAAAGAAAAATGCAGGGTGGTCAAGAAGAAACTGCTGTAAATGGTGATGCTTTCTCTAAGCTTTTCAGGAGAAGACATACCCCAGAGCAGGAAAGTTTACTTTCAGTCAGTGATCTTTACATTGGGTAGGTATAGCAGGAAAAGAAGTTGGAGCTCCCCTTCCTTGTTTTTCTTACAGCCTGTCTTACCTTGAGTCTCTTGTTCCATTCATGACAGCTTAAATCACAGAATAGTTGAGGTTGAAAGTACATCTGGAGATCATCTCATCCAGTCCCTCAGCTCAAGCATGTTGAACCTGGAGCAGGTTTCTCTAGGCTCAACCTAGAGCTGGTTTCTCAGGAGGGTGTCCAGTTGGGTTTTGAGTATTTCAACGGGTGTAGACTCCACAGCCTCTCTGGGCTACTTCTTTCAGTGTTAAATCATCCTTGAAGTAAAAAACACTTCTTACATTTAAATGTAATTTCTTATATTGCAATTTGTGCCCCATTGCCTCTTATCCTGTTACTGGACACCACTGAAAAGAGCCTGGCTCCATCTTTTTTACACCCTCCCTTCAGGTATTTATATACATTGGTAAGATGTTCCCTGTGCCTTCTCTTTTCCAGGCTAAGCCATCCTAACTCTCTCAGCCTTTCCTTTTATGATGGATGCTTCAATCCATCAGTCAGCTTTGTGGCCATGATGACTTAAGTGCCTTTGGCCACATCATATAAGACCAACATTTTTAAAGAGCACAACTATCATTCGCTGACTTCAGCGAGAGCTCCAAGTGTTGAACATCAGTGGCTATGGGGCTGTGGATACATAACTTTTTTAAACCTTAAAATAGGGAGGATGGTCCAGATCCTCTAAGCATTTAAAGCACCAGCTGTGTTGATTTGAATAGAAGGCAGGCACTATAATACCTGGGAGAATACAGATTTAAGATACTTAAAGTACTTACGGTGTTGTCAGGCAGAATTAATCAAATAGAAATGGTTTTCTTCTGATGTTTAAAGCTCTTGTACACCTATATAAACTTTAAGCCAACTGATTTCTCTCTAGCGCTTAAGGAGAAGTTTGCCTCCAGGACTGCTGAGACGAGTGTCTTCAACTTGGACCACAACGACATCAGCCACAGGATTACCTACACTGGAGCCAGCTCCAGTGAGAAGGGATCGCAGTGCCAGCATCAAACCTCATGAACCATCTTCATCCAGGTTTGTGTCTCTCCTTGGGTGAATTTCTTTGGTTCTGTGTGATGATGTCCCTCATTTAAAAATGCTGACTCCAAAGTGCATTTGAACTACTTGTTCATGCTTCTCCAAATTGTGTTACCAGTGAAGTACCATTCCCAGTTTTAGTCAGATTATGCCAAAACTATTACTATTATTAGGAACCAAAATAATAAATAAATCCGTTCGTGCTAGCAAAGTGCAAAAGCACCAAATTCAAGAAGAGAATTCAGAGCTGTGATAATAGAAGACTCAAGTGTTTTTCTACAATTCAAAATTTGGTGCCAGTAGTGGAGAAAAAGATAGGACCTGAGAAGGCCCAACATCACCAGTGTTTGCTGTTGGTATCTTGTGTGACTGCAGCCCCAAAGAGCTCTCTTCCGAATATGTAGACTTTTCCTATAGATGAGGCTCTCATGTAGGGTACCTAGGTGCTCCAGGCAGCGGAGTACACTGAATATCTGGTGCAATAAAAATACATGATTATGCTAAGTTCCCTTTGTGAGGAGTCCCTTGTATCTCAGTGAGAGTAAATACAAAGAAGCTATAACCAAATGGAAATGTTCTTCAGTCACTGGCCTGTGGTTCTCAGGGTGCATTTGATTTATACTGTAGATCCCTGACTGTTTACGTAGTATGTGAGTATCCTAAGATGGGAATCAGAGGGAACAGGAAAGCAGTTAAATATTGCTGTTGGACCTTTTCTATGGATGTTATATAACTGCTTGATGAGCAGCTAAGCAGGCTGTCAATTCTTCCTGCATTTAATGTAGCCAATTTTATAATTATAGCTCTGTCTCAAGCTTCCCAGCCTACTGTTTGCAGTTCTTCTTTTACAGTAGGAAAAACAATGTGTATTCTAGAAAGGGGAAAAATCAATCCTGTAAGTCTAGCTTTAAACATTCTGGCAGACCAAAACAGATTTGATTTCAAGGAAAAGAGTTTTTGAACTGAAGTAAAAAAAAAAAAAAATCTTGATTATCTGCCAGTTCACCTGTACCAAATTCAAGCATGCCACAGGTAACAGAGAAAGAAACATTTCACGGCTTGAAGGGTAGGACAGGGAAAATTACACTGGAATTACCTGCAGCAGATTCTGCAGTTAGAAAATTTGCATGTTTTTCAACAGTCTGGGGCACTGCCTCTGGATCTCTGTAGTTGGATATATGCAAAAATCGCCTGTTCTTAAGATTAGCAATCCTGTACACTTCTAAGCCTATGTCACTAAACAGGTAAGACATGATCCTCCTATAGTTTCAAATGGTTTGGGAAGGACAATAAAGCTTCCTCATTCCTTTCCTCAGTCACTTCTATATGGAGTGATTCTCCCTTAAGAAGTCAGAGAACGTGGTTTGGGAGGGTTGGGTTGGTTTTTCTTTACAGTGGGGCAGTGTGTTATATTTTTTCTGTCAATTAAAAAACAAAACCACAAAGCAAAAAGAAAATTAAAACACAGCTGGATTCTTTCTTTGTCTTACTTCACCACAGATTGGGCCAATGAAGACACCCAGCAAATATTTTTGTAGGTAGTACTTGCTCTTCCAAAACAAAAAGGTGTTTGTAGAGTTAAGACAATGTTACATGGTTTTTGTTACAGAACACTTCTTTTTCAAATTTAGCCAGGACTAGGCTGGTTTGAAAGGCTGTCTTCTGCCATGCGTGTCATCACGTTGTCTGGATGTGAGGCCATGAGGAAAAATGTGGAGCCTGAGAGGCCACTCGCAGAGAGCAGATCTGTCCAGAGAAGTTATAAGCCTCATCAGGTATCACCAACCATGACAGTGGGTTGGAAATAGAACTCTTAAGGTCCTTTCCAACCCTAACTGTTCTATGATTCTGTGATAATGAGAGCCAGTCCTGCATCCGTGCAAACAGCTGACATAGGATAGGTGTCATTCAGGGAAACAATGATAAATACAATTCTCTTGCTTTGCAGAAGTATTTGGCCTCTTCTCATACACAGTTGCAGCCTGAAGGCTGAAAGCACGTATCCATCCTGTTGTAGGGGATCAGCATTTGTTCCCCACAAGCACAGACACAGACACTCTATTTTCCTTCAGTGAGTTTCTCTTGAATCAGTGACCAGTGTCTTCAGGGACTGTCAACAGAATTTTTTCTTGAGATGGACCTGGTGTTTCAGTTGGCTAGAGTGTAAAATGCTTCACCAGAGAAGAGGCACACCACTAGCAGCAGTAATGCAGGGCTCTTCTGAGCCTCATCCAGCCTCCTAAGGAGCAAATCCAGTGCCCGAAGGGTTACTGAGTATCTGCCTTGGTGATTGCAGCAGACGAGTCAAGGAGGCTGATTTTTCAGTTACTCTGAAACTTCTGACACTTCTGGCTCTTGTAAGGAGGCGTTAAAAGAGGATATAAATTTAACTTATTTTGAGTCAACTTTTAAGCCTCTTTGTACTGTCAGAACAATATGACGAAGACATCTTTGTATAAATAAAGTGAATAGGCCTCAGCACTGAAGGAAGTCCAGCTTTGGAGTGTCTGCATTGTTTCTTTTGCTGAATACAATACTGAGCGCCTCACAAAAAGCAGTTCAGCCAGCAGATAGATGCTGCTCTCCTCGTCAGATTTTGTACTATCTCAGTTTTGTGTACTTCTTGCAATGGCTTCTAGCTTCTTAAGATCTGTCATTGACGTCTCTTAGTGTGTCAAACAATGCTTGTTTGTGCTCTGGTATTGCAGTAGTGATTCCTGGAACAGCTCAATTCTGATGACAATCACGAAGAGCAGGTCCTTCTCCACCTCCTACACCATGTCTTCTACCAACCACCTGAATACCAAAAGGCAGAGCCGGCAAGGTGAGTGGGCATCCGTGACTCTGTCAGGCTCACTGCAGCTGCTTTTCCATGACTAGTATATGTAGCTGCTTTTGATCTCTGTCCAATCTGTGACTTTTCTAAAATATAGTTATTTCCTTTATTTAAAACAAAAAACCCTCGGTGGCTTAAAATAATACAGCTCATAGTGATCCTATTGTAAATGTTTTGACTTTTATGATTTATAGAGGTTAGTCATGATATGATACAGCAAGTGTTGTGATTTATGTCCATGTAATTCCCTTTACGACAACAGGGCTGAGAACAGTGTTTTCTATAACATTTATTAGATTAACTGTCTGTGTATTTGGCCTGAGATTCCCTGAAGCACAACCTACATAATGCCATTTGGAGCTGTAGGCAGAAACTGACCTATCTTACACAAACATATCCAAGACAAAGACGTTATAACTCAGTGATCTATATCTGATGTATTTTCATTGTTGCGAAAGTCCAGATAGTTCTTACTGATTTTTAGAGATGAGAAATATGGGGCTTGTTACCCAGGTTTTGGGGCCTTTAAAAAATTACTCCAGTTTTAACTGAGGGAAAGAAATTGAGAAGGTGGCTTCTTGATTATGAAATGTGCAGTATGACAGCCATGAAGCAGCCTTAATCCAGAGTAATGTGATTCTCTTCCTTGTACAAATGCAGGATAAAGTAATGTTTACCCATGCTTTAACTTGCAGTTCAAATTGATCGCAAGGCCTTCCTTTTTTAAATCAGCCCATGGAATAATGTTGAGATAATGTTACCCAGGGATACTGACCACCCAGACATCATATGGAAACTGATAGATGCCTCAGGCCTGACATTGGAAAAGTCAGAGAATCCTAATTTAGAGATGGGTTTGAAGATATGGCTGCACAATTATTCTGCGTATCCAGCACTGTCACAACACATTTCCTTTTCAAACTGAAGAGGTTATTTAGTCTCCTTCTACAGACGCTGCCTTGTTATATTGCAGTGAAGATTAGGTAGCAAAACATAATCTCAAAAGGTAACAGGCATATAGGCAAATTAATAAAATTGAACCAGGAAAATAATGGAAATAAAGTACCAGGTATCCAGGAATTAGAACAAAACAAATTCAATTTAAGACGTGATTTTTTGAAGATTAACCCATTAATTTGAAGCGGGGGAGTTGTTTATAATATTTTATATTTGGAAAACAAGACTTACTAACTCTGTCAGTAAATTTTACCTTTGTCCTGCTTCCAAAAAGTGTTAGTAGTCATGTCTCTTGCCTGAATACATAAACTCCCATGTGATGGAGAGCTCCTAAGGGTACCAATTGATAGGAGTAAAAATTTTGGCTCAGCATTTTATGCAGAAGATTGATACTTTCATGTTTTAGACTGTTTATAATCATGCATTTTTACTTGTGAATTGGTTTTGTGTTCCAACTAAAAAATTGCTTCAATTTGCAAGAACAATTGCTTCAAAACTTAATACAAAATAGACTTTTATACATTAGCACAATTGGCAATATATAATAATTCTTGGTAGAAGCTGATACAGCTAAATCTATAATCTGTTAACTTATAAAATGTGTCTGCATGCATGAAAGCATTTTGGAATACTGCTAGCTGTACTTTGGTAAAATTCTGGGGTAAGCTCGAGCTTTTTATATGTAATTTCAAATCACACTGAAGTTACTCTTTTATTTCTTCAACTCTGCACATGTGTAAAAGTTCTGAAGGACCTAACCAGATGGACGTACTTAAAAAAATTATCCCTATATTGTTATTCTTCTCTTGGTTGTTCAATATCCTTTGCTGTAGCAAGACACATTTTCTCTCACTGCTGCCAATAAATGGTTAAATGTTGGCTTATTGAAAATAGGTTTGCATTTCTCCAGTAAATTTTTTTTTTTTTTTTGTTACCTACCCTGGCAAATTACTGTTAAAAAACAACACCACCACCACCACATCACAAACAAAAAAACCCATACAAACAAAAAAACAACACAACCAAAAATATTTCCAGAGATGTGAGCCCAGACTAGCAGCAGAAAGCCAGCTGTGATTAGAAACATTCTTGTGAAAATTGCCGTTTAAATTCCCAGGACTTGCTTTAAATTGTTGAAAGACGACCGTATTTATTGTATTCTCTAGCGTTCATGAAGATTACCTGGTAATATATAGCTCAGAGATAGAAAATACTCCAACGCAATCCCCCGTGCAACTAACAGACTCTGAGATGTTTTTAAACGCATATTTTTGTTGGAAAGAAAGCAGATATCTCAAAGGATTAATAAACGTGAAACAGGCTTTCTGTATTCTAAAGCAATTTCCATATGTCATGGCCATCTGATAACTTTTAATTGCTCTGTAGGCTGTAGGTTTCTGTTCTCAAGACTAGCGTAGTATCCTAGTTGCAGTCATTGAATTAAGGCAGTAATACATACCATATGTTTGCTGAAGAAGTACCCTACTCAGAAGATCTCAAAATTACAGTGTAGTAACTGCCAGGGATCATTTTTAACTCTTGATTTGTCAACCATAAATCATATCTTAACCTCATATCACAGTAAGTTGTTATCAGGAAAAGGCACTGGAGCTGTACTTATATATCCTGCAAGGTTAGTATTTCACAGACTTAGATCAACATATTGCCTTATTCTAAGATAATTTTTTGTGCCTGGAATGTATTTAAATAGTGGGCACAATTCAAACATAAAACCAGTTAAAGTATCTAAGTTCATTATATCATTTGGCTTTGAAGATGAACATGCTAAATGAACTGGGGCTGAGTTCCTACAAACTTTTGAACAGGAGGTAAGTCAATTTACATGCATTTTCTTTTAAGATAAATTATGTCTTCTTATCTGTGCTTTATTGTGAATGAGACCTTTTTGTCTGAGATTAGAAAATGTAAATAGATTCAAAAAGAAGACAGCACTTCATCTCAAACACTGGACTAGATGATGCATTTCATCTTGGCAGTGATGGTTAGGTAAAATAGGACAGAGAGAACTACATCTTGCTAGTGCTCACACGTGGATATTGCAGTTTCTGATACACTAGCTTGGGAGTACAATACCATGTGGTACAGGTGATGGTCACAAGGATCCCATAGTGAGCCACAGATAGTGAAAAATAAACTTAAGATGCATGAGGTCAAGGCTGAAATCTGTGAGGAATGCAGAAATGGCACCAGAAGTGCAATATTTTATATTCATATTATGTATGACTACTAACATTTGCTTTGTTGTTTTTTGCTAGTCTTCAAACATGTAGAAATTCAAATTTGGTGGGAACATGCGTAAGCCTTTCTTGTCTCTCCTTTTCAGATGGAGACGTTGAAGCACAGAGAAACTGCAGATGGGTCTGGAAGCTGCCTATTTGGCGGTTTCTGTCACTAGAGCATGTTGATACCAATAGTCATGCCACTAATGTATGTCTTTCATTTCATGCCTGCCAGTTAGTGCATCCTGCTCAACAGGGAAAATATGCTTCATATTTTGAGCCAAACCTTCAGCAGGTAGAAGAGGCTGATAATAATGGAGTTCCATTTCTCTATGACAGCAGTGGACTTGGCTCAGAGTGAAGGAGGGTTTTCTCTTATTTTTCCATTTGGAAGCTATGCTGGTACCCATGCATCTCAAAGGTGTATTTCTGCACAGTGAACTCATACAACCATCTGCCACTTCTGTTAATTGACAAGACTTTTCTTTTGTCTTGCCAGGTATCCCGCCAAATATTTCACCTCTATCCTCCCCATGCCATTCACCAATTCAGGGGACGCCTGCCACAAGTCCTACTGGAAAAACATCTTCTGTGTCATTTCCAGACTACAGTGATATTGACACCAAGCAAGGCTTAAAGCCACACAAAGTCTTAACTTCTACTCAAAGCGCCCCTAGCCTGTCAGACCCTGTTATCAGTCCCTCTGTCATCTGCAGCAGGTAAGATAGTAATTTCACATGTATTGGAGTAATTTCACGTTGCTCTCATGAGCAAGTTCCTTTGGCTCACATGCAAGTTTCTGTGATTTGCTACAGAATTGTGTATTGATATTTCACTATATTTAAGCATTTCTTAGTACGTGAGTAATAATGTAGATTGATGCTACAAGGTGCTTTTAAAGTGCAAGATGGTTAGCTACCCTTGCTTTTACTCATGTCAGATGCACAGTCTGATTCATAAATTCTTCATCAGTAGCTTACAGATCCCAAAGCTGGATTTCTCACAGCATGCCCTTAACATGAACAGTCACTTTCAGGTCACAAGCAGAATCTTTCAGAGCAGGCACATGATGTTTGATAGAAAAATCTGACTGGTAGGGTCTAAAAGCTGCTGGCCTGCAGCCTTCAAATAAAGATATGCCAACAGTGCCTGAAGACTACTGAATTTTGAGTGCTCTCTCAGAAAGAGTGGCTCCTATTCTCCCTAGTCAGAGTCAGATTATGCAGCATTGGGATTTATTTATTTATTTTTTTTTTAGAAATCAACTACATCCAAGTTCTTTCTACAGTTATAATTTCACACTTTAGAGTAGCCTATTATCATATTACACAGACCTGCTCTGCAAAATCAGCATTTTGGAAAGAAAGTTGATCTGCTTATCTTCTCAAAAAGACTCAGTTGCTAAATTAAATTACTGGAGTTTGCAGTATGTGTCCAGCTCAGAATAGTGGGATACACTGGTATTCAGAATCCTGTTCCAGTGCAGTTTTGAGCTTACCTTACTCATTAGATGTTACTTTGTGAGTGGTTTGTGATTATCGGCTAGCCAGTGGACATCATCTGAGGCTGGGTTAAATGTTACCAAGTTTGTCTATCTTCGGAAGCAGTTTTTCGTTTCTGGCTTTTGCCACATGACTTTGGATGTGTCTCAGTATGCTGGCCTAGATAGTGGGTGTCAGAAAGTCAGAAGTGAGACTGCAGGTTTGTTTGAAGGAGTCATTCCCACTAGAATTCAATCCTGACAGGCTTTTAAGACATATTTAGGTGACTAAATAGAAACTAAGCACTTTCGAATAAATAGAAACCAAGTGCTTTTAAAAGTTTTCCAAAGGCATTGCAAAACTGGGGATTTGCACTGATTCATTTGAAATGAAGGCTATTACACGTAAGAAAAATACTATAAACATGCTACTGTCATATTAAACTGTTCCTTTATTACTCCTTCAACAAAATATTATTGCTTTAACTAGTAACAGTTATCTGTGGGAGCCTTCTATTAAAAAGAACAGTTAATAGTTGTATAAAAAATGTCAAAAGCAGCAATGTAAAGTTGTAGATAGTAATGAAATATATTTATTTGATATGGGTAGACTTTGATTTCAGTGTTATCATTGGTAAAATGCTCTTTAGCTTTTATGTGGCTGCTCTTTTGTGTGATCAGTGTGGGTTGTGTGGCATATGTAGGTTCTTAATTTCCTTGTTTCAATTGCTTAAGCTGTGTAGGCATTACAAGTAGTTACACTGCTTAGACTTTGTTCTTGATTATTTGAAACATACACATTATTTAAAATATTATGGTGTAATGACTGCTATTAGGATTGGCATCCACTAATTGTCATGTTCCTGTATTGTCCATTGAAAAATCAAATAGAGATGTTATATCCACAGATTAAAGCTGAGCCAACAGCACATAAATAATGCTCTCCTTAGTAATGTAAGCACAATTTAATAAAAAAAGGAAAAAAACCCCAAAACAACAATACCCCCCCCCAAAAAAAACAACAAACCAAACACCCCCCACAGAACTTAAATGGCTCAGACAAGCTAAGAGAGTTAAATTAACAGAAACTGGAAGTACGTCTTCTGATATTTGAGCTTTCACATCATAGATTGCTAGCCTTCATGGTATGCAATCCCCTACATTTACTGCCAAAAATGATGCCTTGCTAGGAAATAATACCAAGTGAGCAAACCTCTACCACCACCAAACCAATCCCTCCCCCAATAATAACAAAGGAGGAAATGAACTTTTGATGGGTTCAGTGCTTTAAATCAGATCCACTCAGGCAGTGGCATCCAGGCAGCAGTTTTACTGTACTTTTTTTTCACTTGAGAAGTGAAACATGAAGGAGAGCAGAGTTTGAAAACTGCATTAAACAAGAACATATACCAGGCAATGCTGTTAAAATAACTTGTAAATAATTTTAGAGAGCAGTGTAGGGGAGAGGGACCTGGGGGTCCTGGTGGACGACAGGGTGACCATGAGCCGACATTGTGCCCTTGTGGCCAAGAAGGCCAATGGCATCCTGGGTTGTATTAGAAGGGGGGTGGTTAGTAGGTCGAGAGAGGTCCTCCTTCCCCTCTACTCTGCCCTGGTGAGACCTCATCTGGAAGTGTCCAGTTCTGGGCCCCTCAGTTTAAAAAGGACAGGGACCTGCTGGAGAGAGTCCAGCGCAGGGCAACTAAGATGATTAAGGGAGTGGAGCATCTCCCTTATGAGGAAAGACTGAGGGAGCTGGGTCTCTATAGTTTGGAGAAGAGGAGATTGAGGGGTGACCTTATTAGTGTATATAAATATATAAAGGGGGAGTGTCACGAGGATGGAGCCAGGCTCTTCTCAGTGGCAAACAATGAAAGGACAAGGGGTAATGGGTACAAATTGGAGCACAAGAGGTTCCACTTAAACCTGAGAAGAAACTTCTTCTCAGTGAGGGTGACGGAACACTGGAACGGGCTGCCCAGGGAGGTTGTGGAATCTCCTTCTTTGGAGACATTCAAGACCCGCCTGGACACGTTCCTGTGTAACCTTATCTAGGTGTTCCTGCTCCGGCAGGGGGATTGGACTAGATGATCTTTTGAGGTCCCTTCCAATCTCTAACCTACTGTGATACTGTGATACTGTGATACTGTGATAATAATTTTTAATTCTGCTTAGTGGATGATGCAGGAATCCTGTGGGGAAAAAAAATAAACAATCCTGTGCTTAAAAAGTGTATTATAATGCTTGTTCATGAAGGGGATTAAGTTAAAGTTGCATGGGCACATTTACCTCTGACGTAGAGCAGATTTCAAGTGCTCTACTAGGTAGCTCAGTAATTTTTTTTCTTAGTATAGTATTTTATGTGGACCATGCGTAATAAATCAGTGAGTTTGCATATGTTCTGGAAATAAAGAGGTACACTCATAATGGCACAAAAGCCTTGTAGCGTTACAACCAGTCAAAGGTTCTTTTTCTCTTACTTTTTGATTTGTTTGCCTTGACCTTATAGAAACCACAAGAAATATGGGAAAAAGAAATTAATAGGGTTTTTTTTTCATGTTGTTCATAAAACTGAGTGATACAAGATTTATTTGCTTGGCTGTGCACTACAGGTATCATTGTATACAGATTTGTATTTTTATTTAATTTTTTTCAGGAATTCATTCCATTTTCAGGGCATACCAAGCTTCAGAATATGTTCTGGATGACCCAGTTAAAAGCCACCTGGAAAGCCAGAGAAAGCAATGTTAAGGTGTCATTTTTTCATGGACAGATTTGATATAATACTGCTAAGTGAGGCTTCAGATTTATGAAGTTCTCTCATGTTTTCATGAGATGTCATGATACATATCCTTCAGGACCTAGACTCAATCATACTGGGACCTTGTAATTTTAAATGTTCCAGCTGGTATTGAGTTCACGTTCAGGGCAAGGAATTCACACAAGGAATAAGGCCTTTTAATAGAAGGGAAGAGCCAGTCATTTGGAAAGGCCATGATATTGTGATCCCACCCACGATGTCTTTCTGTTCTGGGAATAATGAAGCAAACTCTGTTTTCTAGTTTCATTGCTAAACATCTAAATGTCAGATCACACACCTTGTGCTCTGTCGAAAAACCCCTTTAGTACTGATGTACGTGGTATGTTGTCACTGAAGTAGTGGCAAAATGCCTTCTTTCTTAAGAGGAACATATTCAAGTTTTAAGGAAGAAAAGGAGAGTAAAGCCACATGATATCCGTGTTCAGGTTGAATTATATAAAATTTCATGGCACTCTGGCAAATTTTCATCATTTTAATTCATAGGACAGCTGTAGTACAAAACCAGGGAATTTATCCTTTTTTTTAACTGATAAACTTAGGGAAGAAAAAAAAAAATGCATTAAAAAAAAACCCCACATGGTATAGGTTTACCCTAGGTAACATAGATTTAATGGTGGTGGCCAGTTAACCCAACATCTTTATATTGTTGGTTTTTACATTCCTAGCTTCCAATAAACTGCAGCTCACTCTTGTAATTTTGTCTGGAGAATGCACTCTGTACTATAGCTTATACTGTATGACATAATCTCACACTTCTCAGCAGGACATAATTTTACATAAGACTGTCTAATGTGTATGGTTCTTTATATTGTTCACATTTCTTGATTTATTTCAGCTGTGGCAGACCCTATAACCAAATAGCGGCCAGTGATGGGACACTAGATAGAAATGGTGGTACCACACACACCCTGAACAGAACAGGTAATTTTTTGTCCACCAAAAACTTCTCATCCCTTAAAATTCAGTAGTCATTCACTGAAAGGGTATATATGCCTGTCTGTCATAAAAGAAGATCTTAAATAGGTGAGACCATGCAAATTGTCTTTGAGGCTTCTTTCTATTTTGTATATGCAACATGCAAAATGCTAACGAAGAATAGAGTTAAAATATGAGGGGGATATGGTTTCCCTCATCTAATCTTGTCAGTTCAGATAATGGTCCTTAAAATTTTTCTCACTCTTCAGTCCCTGATCCCATTTTTTTGCACTCTGCAGGGTATACGCTTTAATGCCTTTGGACAGATTGTCTGTCTTTGGACCCAGCCAAGCAGCACATATGTATTATGAGTCAGAGATCCTGTTGCCATTATTCAGAAGGTCACAGAATGACTTTGATGCAGTCCTTGCTGTTAACACAACAAGCCTTGTGATTTGTTTTGTAGATGATCCTGCGCAAGCCACTTCTGATTATGAGACCAACAACAGTGATAGCAGTGATATTGTACAAAATGACGATGAGACAGATTGCTCCAAAGAGCAGACACGTAAGGGATCCGTCTGTAGGACGTACACACCTGAGACCATCATTCTGCATCCCTTGATACCACCTGAGGTAGCTTGTTTAAGTTCCACTCACACAATAGATAAAGGAGAGAGGAGAAATAAAAAACTAACAAAACACCCAAACCGCCCCCCCAAAAACCCTTAGAGTTGTCTAAAGACTGTAACCATGGTTTTAAGCAACAATTGTAGCAGGTTTCTACCTTGCAGTAGGAGGATTGTCTTTCAAGAATGGAAAGGAACCATTGAAATGTGTACCAGCTGCTAAGCACTGGCCACTTGTGGAGCACTAGCCATCTATTTCAATGAATAAATATAAGTTTATGGATCCATCATAAGTCATTTCTGAAATATTTGGCTTCTGTGTTAGCCTGACCTTAAAGGGAATGGATTGTAAGGAAGAGAAATTATCTGCTCAGACTACCAGCATGATACATAGTCTTCCTGTTCAGCCTTCTCAGTGGCCTTGTAATCTTAATTAATATATACAATGATCCTTATTTTAATATAAATTAACACTTTTCTGAGGGCGCTGGCATAACGTTATTGGTGGTGGATGTCTTGAGCATAGGAACATTGTGGTATGGCGAACAAGGGCTGATCTTCTCATGACTGCTGTATTCAGCTGTCATCTTGATCAAGATGGAGAGGGAAAGCTTTGTTTAGTTAAATTTTTAGCAGCCTATTTCGCAACCACATTAATAACTTTGAGTTGGCTTGAGCTCTTGAAAAAATTTATTGTAATCTCTTGGAGTTGGACATGCTGAAAGAAGGCATTTTTCTTGAGATATTTTGGCATTTACTCATCTGCAGTTTCTTAGTAATAATGAAATTCAACAAAATATAGAGGGAGAAATGTAAAAGGAGGGGCACAACCCATCTTTTATTTGCAGACCTTGAAAAACAGGTAGGTTTCAGTTTAAGAAGTACAAGTTTTCACTTGGACTGAGCTTAGCCATGTTAGATTGTAATGAATACAGGCGTAGAAACTGAACACTTTTCCCTCTGTACTGCAGCATGTTTTACAATGAAGAAAACATTTTCTTTGGAAATGAATGAATGATTCCCATGAATGAACAAATGAACGTGTCTCATGGATAAGTTCAGAGGCTGACGTTTCATACACAGACATTCCTATTCGTTCAGGTGAAACGAATTATAAAGAAGAGTGACTAGCTGTAGGGCTAGTAGAAACAGGGACATCTTCACTGAGCTGAGCAAAGTACCGACAATTTACAGAAGATGTCAATGTGATGTTAGTTTTTAAGAGCGTAAGTTTTTGCATGAGGTGTTTCACAGAACTGAATTTCCTCTTTATTCTGATTTCTGGAACAGGACAAGCCTGTACTTGCTCCAGAGCCTCTAATTATGGACAACTTGGATCCCTTGATGGAGCAGCTAAATAGTTGGAACTTCCCAATTTTTGATTTGGTGGAAAAAATTGGAAAGAAGTGTGGTCGGATTCTCAGTCAGGTGAGAAGGATATCCTGTCTGCAGAGACTGGCTAGATAATTGACAGATTTAGACAAAGTAGTGTTATGACCCATTGTCCTTACAAGGTCATCATCCCATGAATTGTGATCTGTGGCACCTAATTCAAAGCTGCCATTATGAACTCCGTCTCATTACACCCTTTAGTTTTAAATTTATATACTTTAAAATTTAAAAATGTGAAATTAAAAAACACACACATATTTTTCCTGGTTTTCTCTGCCAATGAGTGTACATAAACCTGTCTGAATATTCTTTTCTATCTGCAGGAGGTGCTGCCACCCTCTGTTGAATTTTTTGTGAAAGGATTTCTCATGGGTTTCAGCATGGGAGGGCTAAACTATAAATACATTCAGTTGATGGAGGAAATACAAAAATTTTGTACCTTTTTTATACTGGAGATTTCAGGCTGTGCAAGAAAGAAAAGTTTCAGGAAGTGGGAATGAAAATAGTCCTTTCTATATTCCCTCACCTTTAAAAGGTCAGCACATTAATAATAAATTCATGTCATTATACATAGGGAAGACTAATTTACTGTGAATCAGGATGTGAGATCTTTCTAGACTTTCTTTCAACTGTTGTTTTTTCATTATTTCCTACTAGTTGAATGCAGGTACTGGCAGAGCCCATATCTACCCACCTCAGTGTCACTTCTAGAACCACTTTCTTGGATGAATTTTCTACTGTATTATGCCCCTTTTCCTTGCACACTAACAAATCAGCCTCTTTTTCTTACAGAAAAGCAGCAAAGGAAAGTAATTATTGTTATGGAGGGATGGAAGGGAAAAAAAAAGCAACCACAAAACAAAGCAATAAGAGAATCTGACTGGTCTAGTATCACTTTACAAGGCATTATGTAGTGATGAGTACTGGAAAGAAGAGATTATGTTAATTGGTATAATGTGGGATAATTAACACTCCCCACAAACACAGAGGTTGGTGTGTCACGCACATCTCAGTGCAGTGAGCTCCAGAGAATGCTGTATCAAATCTGGGTCCATTGGTGTTTAACTATTATTCAGCTAGATTCAGTTATCCAGTGGTCAACCAGGAAAACCAAAGCATGAATTCAAATATACCCTGTGGTGTTCCTTTTATTGTTCGTTGGCTTGTATTTACAGTCTGCAAGCTCTCTAGGTTGATTTTAGAGAAACAGGCAAACTATGGCTGGATGGGGATATTGATATAAATTCAGTGATCATTATTGAGACACATTAGATAACAAGCATTCGATAGTGATTAAAATGCTTTTCTAGAGCGTATTTTTTTCATATTGTTTTGTAACAGCATAGAATGAAAAATGAAACATAAGGGAAAAGAGAGCTCTTTATTTAATGGCATATCCAACAGTTTGGATGAGCAAAAACTTGTTCTGGTTTTACATGGGTACCTCTATATGTTCTAAATGCTTTTCCAAGTTGCATAGTTCTGTACCTCTCAGTACAATTCCCTTGTGCCTCCCTCAATTTGTGCTAAAGCTCCACACTCTGATTCCCAACATCTGCTTTTTGCACAGCTTCTGAGCATGTTATTCATTTTGCAGTGCTGCAAAGTAAGACCTGTGAAATAAAATAGGGAAGCTTTAATAAATAGTATTTGTGATCAAAATTCAACATTTTTCTGTAGCAGCTGCTTGTAGTAACTCCCACTCCCTAAGAGCAGAATGTGGCAAGTTCAACTTTGTTCATGAAATAAAGATATATCTTTTAGTTCTTTCCCTACCCATTCAGATGCTCCCAACAGAATTATTTTCCAAAATAAGAGAACTAAAATAAATAAATCTTTTTTTTTTTCCCCAATCAGAAGTATTGTCTTTTTCTTGTATATTTTTTAAATCCTGGGATATTATAAACAGAGGAAAACAAAAGCTGTAATGATTTATTCTCCATATTTTGCCATTAAATGGACTCATCCATTAAAAATAAGTAAATTAACAAGCTGAATTAACTATGTTTGCCTTGCTAGCTTAAATTTATGAGATGGAACAAAGCAGAGCTGACACGTGCCTCCAGGGAAGCATTCAGTTTAGAAAGCAAGTGCTGGCTTGGCATCTTTAAAGCTGCTTGAGATGTCTGTTTCTTCTTTCCAGAATGTTAAATTGGTTTAGACATATAAAAAGACCCCAAACCAGTCAGCGGCCATAAAAGTATCTGTGCAAAGTAGAGTGGCATGCACTCTAAGTGTGGCACTAACAGCTACACATGATGGGGGTTAGAGAGCAATTTACATACCAGTCTCATTTCAGAAAGGAGCAGCAGGCTTTCAACAGAGTTGATGCTTCACATCAGGTCATAAAGTTAGATAATGTCTTCAGTCACACTTAACACTCTTCTTAAAGCTCCTATGAAACTAAAACCTGTGGAAGAGAAACTCATTTGCCTTAGAAAGCAAAAATAAAAAAAGAATAGGCTGAAGTCAAAGTGTCTCTCTAGCTTTTATTACTGGGCCCATAGAGATGATGAATGGTGGCGCTCCTGTGCTCTCAGTACATGAGCAGCATTGAGGCAGGGTGGCATCATTCCTGTGTGTGTTGTGAGGTGTCCCTGGATAGTGACAAGAGGATTGTTTGTTCATCTCATAATCATGCATGGCTTCTGTAGAGAGAAACTGCAGCCATTAAATGAAGGAGGAAAGGAAATCAGTCCTTGGGGAATGGGATGTTCTGGGGATCATTACAGCAGCCCTCATGAGGAGTTGTGCCTGTCAGAGCTGGAGACAGGATGCCAGTAACTTAGAAGGAATGTATGTTTGAAGAAAGTAAATGCAAGAGAACAGAGAAGTGCAAAAGGGTTGCCTTTAAACAAGTAGGGAACCGTTAATCTAAACTTTGCGCGTGTCCATTCAGGAGAAATGCTTGTCCTTCTTCAGGCATCGCCACCAAAAGTATCTGAGTTATACATGACTCATTCAAGCATTAGCAATCATTGCGGAGACAAGCTGAATATGGAGGCTGGAAGGAAGAGGCAGTGTGGAGCACCTACTGCCAAGCCCTTGGAGATTCCCTGGGCTTGCCCCTGGCAGCAGGGACCACACTGTGGCTGCAAGGGTGCCATGCTCAGCCCATGGGATTATAACTCCCAGGGAGCTAAATGAAACAGCATGTGGTTTGGGAAGGAAGGATTTTAAAAGACAGGAGCATTTAAAAATGTTTAATCCAGAGCAATGAATAAACAAAACTGCACAATTTGTCTTTTCATTTTTTCTTTTTAATGAAAGAATTTAGTTAGTTGATTTTCTGGAAGACATCAGTGTGCTTTTTCCTCTTTCTGGCCTGCCCTTATCCCTTACTCTTCCCCATTTGCTAAGAAAGAAAGAAAGAAAACATCACAAAAATGTCAAAATTACCTATTTGGCTGTTTATTGTTTCTAATGATCATAGGGTATAATGTCATTTTACTCCAAGTCATGGGCAAGAGCTATCATTCATATCCATCACAGTCAGCTTTGCTTGTTTTCAACTGCTGTTGAATTTCCCACACCCCAAAATACAAGGGGAGGAAAAACATGCTTTTATAACATTTTTTGTGTGAAATACCTGTCTGGTATTGGTACCATAGACCAGGGAGGTTTGGTTCTGCAGAACAGTATTTCTTTATGCTTGCTTTTTTTTACTTTGTACTTTTTTTTCACTTTATAAGCAACAGCAATGGCCACAAAGAGAAATTACCACAGGCATGCCGATGGCACTTACACACTTATGGTAGAAACAGAAGCAAGAGCTGGGGCCACCAGCAGAACCCCAGCTTTCAAACATGTGTCATCAGGCATCGTGGACAGCGTCAGGCATGACACTCATTGTGTCTCTGCATCGTCACTGCCTGTTGCAGTGCTTTAGCAGAGTTTGTCACATGCAGATTTTCCCTGGTAGGCAATAGCTAGGCAGGGGAAGATTATTACTGCTGCAAATTCATATCCTCTTTTATTATTCTTACTGTAAAAATCCACAGTGACAGGACATTTGAAGTTTATGTCATTAAACTTTAGGTGCAGCTCACAGGTCCCAATTTACATACACAATATTCAGAAAAAAAATTATACACAACATACGGAAAGAAACCAAGGCCAGGTTGGATGGGGCTTTGAGCAACCTGATCTTGTGGAAGGCGTCCCTGCCCATGGCAAGGGTGTTGGGAACAGATGAGCTTTAACGTCCCTTCCAACCCAAACCATTCTGTGATTCTGTGAAAGAAATGGGTGTGGATAGCTGTTTGATTTACATTTGGGTGTAAAACACGAAATACAATTTTTACAAATTTCTTATTGCTGCAGCATTCACCATTCCAAGTGTGCTTCAATTCGCTTAGCTCTAGGCAGATCATTACCAGACAGATGGCATCAAAAGGACAGAATTTAGCTAACAGCAGTAAATAAAGAAGCAAATGGCTTTAGGGTCCCATTTGTGAATGAAGTCAAAAGGTCAGGCAGTAAATTTGCTATGTCCCATTGTTCTGTATGTCGTGTTCAAACTTGTCTTCAAAAGTCTCCATCTTGCAGCAGTTTCTGTCTGTATTTCCAAGCACTTGTCCCTTCTGAACAGCTCCTCACTCATCCATCACAGTCTCCCTTCCAGTATGGCTTCTCCTGGATGTCTACAGTCATATTTTCATGCAGGAACACTTAGAGCACCTCTGCTTCCTAAGTTGCTTGCTGCCTTTGAAATCCTTTTGGAGAAGTCACTTCTGTCATTTCACTTCTAAAATAGGGGAGAAAGGAGATAATGCATAAGATTCATATTATTCTCTCCTTTTGTCTTTCCTTCATTTGTTCCTGATTTTTCTCAGAATTGACTTGACTCATGGATTCTCCTTGGAATTTTTACAAAAAACACTAAAGACCTCTAGACATCATCCTTTGTGTGTGTGTGTTTCTGAGGTGTTGCAAAATTTGGGGGATCCATATACCTGAAAGGACGATAAGAACGTCTGCAACAGTATAACAAAAGAATGAGGTCTTTTTTGGTACTAATAGCTTGTCTGTTTGGCTATGTAGCCACATCCCTGTGGAAGTGCAAATAGGTGCAGCTATACACAGATCAGAAAGCAGGTTTTCATGGGATAATTCAATAGAATGATTTTTATTAGTTTTTCTGGCCTACTTAGCAGCATGGTTATTTTGTTTTTTCAGGTATCATACAGACTATTTGAAGACATGGGGCTGTTTGAAACCTTTAAAATACCAGTAAGGGAATTTATGAACTACTTTCATGCCTTGGAGTGTGGATACCGAGATATACCTTGTAAGTAAAAATTCCCAGCAGATAATAATGTGTCCTTAAAGTTTGGGGTATTTTTCACACTTTTTGCTATTGAAGCCTTTCTTCTCTCATTATAACAGCTACTTTTTTTCTTCTGGTACATCACACCAAATGGATGGCTCTCTAGTTTCAGGCTGATGCTGAACCACAGTCTCTCTTCTTTTTCTCATTGTGTTTAATGTTTCATGTTGTTTCATAGCAATTCATGGCAAAACTCTATGCAAGCCTAAAACCATATAAAGCTACTATAAGTGCAAAGAACTGTTTGCTGATGCTGCAAGTGTACCCCAGTGCCCCAGTTGGAGTTTACTGAAACATTTCTGCCCTATAAGCAATTTGGATTTTTGCACAGTTGCAGTACTATGCAGCCAAAGGAGAGGAGCTTTGTAAAGCAGAAAAAATATGCCAAGTAGTTGAGTGCAACTACACTGAAACTACAGCTCAGCTGATATTTTTCCATGTGAATCATTCATTCACTGAAAATCCTGCTTTCCGTCATCCCCAAAGTATTTACTAATTCAAATCAAGTTTACTAAGCGAACTGCAAAAGTCTCATTTTTTCCATGAGGAGAGAGGGAGTTATTACCCCCTTTAGCTGGTAGATAACCCCAGTGCTGAGGAATATAGGGCACGCTGTTTCCTCCCACCTCCCAGAAAAATGGCTGAAAGATTGGTTTAATAAGTCATATAGTCTTTCTCTTAAAATATTAAATACCAATTGCAACATCTTCAGTAGAAGGGATTGAAGGAAAGCTACCTCAAATTGCCTTCCAGTCAGGACTTTTGGACTCTCTTCTGGAAAGTGAGAGATCAAACTTCAAATCTTTCCTTGTGTTTGAGCCAGACTGGGGATTTGAAGCAGCAGAGTGTAGCCTAAAGGAGTTATAGGTGGATGTCCCGCAGTTGGTCTGTCCTACTGGAGACATTCCTCTTTATTTAAAACATTTAAATATTCATAGAGTCTCAGGATTTTTTTTATGAATCTAGCCCTTCATTACATTGGTTTTTCTTAAGCATGTTTTGGTTTAATAAAGCAGAATATTTTGTCTCATAAAAATTAATTTGCCTTCCAATTTTTCATTTCTGTGAAGGGGTAAAAACCTAAGCAACTTGTTTGAACTTAACCGTTTCTTTCTTCTGGTTGCTGAACTGAAAAATGGGTTATTCACACAATATTTATGGTGACCATCCCAGTTGAATTAAATCAATACAAGTTTCAGAAGAGGCAATCCAGCTTTTACTCCTGAGAAAAGCATTAGACCCCTGTGCAGGGCCATCATCTAGGTTTTGCATGAGAGAGATTGGTGTCTCAGGAGAGATGTTCTTAGTACTTCAAGGAAGGCAGGGGAGAGGGGGGGTCCTTCCTGATTTTACTTTCTTCTTTTCAAAAATACCTTATAGATGGAGTGGCCTCAAGGTGAAGTTCAGTGTCAGTGCTGAGAAACCCCTATCTGCTATACACTGCCTATCTTTAGGATGCAGCAGGTGTAACCAGGTTGCTAGCACTTCTTGCTGCCAGTCTCTTCTGCTCCCCCAGAGTACAGAGGGCTTTTTCCACCATTGTGAGATTTACTGATGGGAGTGACAAAGCAATAGAGTCCCACATTTCTGTGCTTTGTCCTCTGAAATGCATCTTTCCAGAACTGCAGTAGGAGTAATGCGGCCATAGGTTATCATTTTGATTAGCAGATTTCTTTGTGTTGTGAAGGTGTGCTTGTGAAGATACCTGTGCTCTGCCCAGAATTAGCCTAAATCACAAGCTGAACTGCTTGTCCTTTGGTGATTTAACCCCAAGTGCAAGCTTTGGTCCTGGTGCAGCAAAGCATTAGCCCTCTTTCAGCATCATGGTTACTTTTTGCTAATGTGCATTTAGATCATACTTTGTGCTGAACTAGCGTGTGATTCTTTTTCAGCCAGTTGTGTTGGCTCTGGAATAGTTTATCTTGCCTTGTAGGATTTGGTATTATGAGCCATGGGGTGACTTTTATCTCTCACTTCTGCAAAGAGAGTTTGTAGTAAGTCAGATTACAAGATGCAGGACCATAACTCTTATCTCTGGCCAGAAATCCTCAGAAAGAACCTAATTTAACTGTGCAGTGTACACCTATCCTGAATTTGATTTTTTTTTGCAGAGCAGCTGCTAGCACAGCACTTATATTTCCTCAGGTAGAGTCAGGTAAGTATTACCTGCCTTGTATTTAGAAGCTAGGTGAAACCTTGACTGCTGAAGTGGGTGAGATTTTCCCACTGATTTCATTTGAATCAGAGATTAACAGTGCATATTTTACATGATGGCATTTAAGAAGCTAAAAGCAACCACTTGAGTAAAGGATTGGAGCTGGTAGCATAGGAAGTCCCACTGTTTCTCTGTTTTCTCTTTCTGGACTGTTGTGATACATACCATTGAATGTGCTTTGACTTCAGTGAAAGAAAATCTGAGCATTTACTGAATACAGCTGGTTCGCATGTGTCTGGTAATGTTTGATTTGTCTCTGGATTGACTGCCATGCAGTACCCACTAGATGGTGCTGATTTCCTTCTGTGGGAAATCAGAGTTTAATAGCAGGGTAATTTGCTTTGTATCACAGATCACAACCGAATCCATGCAACTGATGTTCTACATGCTGTTTGGTACCTTACTACTCAGCCCATCCCAGGACTCCCAACTGTGATTAATGATCACGGGTCAGCAAGTGATTCAGGTATATTTAAATGTGCAAGTGTATATGTTGTATTTTTAAAGTTTTTTGTCCTGAGATTTGCTGTAAGAATGCCAGCAGTTGAGGATTGCGTACGATATTTGTTATCATATAGACTTTTAAGTTCAATGGTAACTTGGATGTTGAGGGTGTTAAAGTATGTTTATATAGCTTTGAAGAGAATGGAATTGGTCCTTCAAAGCCTAATACTTTTAACAACGTGTGAATGCAAGCCTTTGTGTCACCCATGGCAGTTTTTTTGCAATGGGTGCTACAGTTTGTTACAGTTTGATTTTTACAATAACTTTTTTCATAGTATTTCACTGTATTGGTAGTGCTTTTCAGTGCTGCTCCAGAAGCAGTGTAGACTTAAATCCTCAAACCCTGCATTGTTTCACTATTACAAAATCTCTGAGGCATACACCATTGCCACTACTTGGCTGTCGTGAACTGTTCCCTTGCTTCTCCTGGCTGTCTCCAAGGAAGGAGACTTGTTACCATTTTACAACCAGCTTGCAAGACCACACGTCTGTTTTTTATGTTTCTTCCTTGCAAGAAGCTGCTCTTACTCCATTTTTATATTAACTTCTCCAGGTACAGCTGTAACAACTAGAGGACCTTGCTATAGTTTGTGGGAGTTCTGAAGGAAACCTCTTCCATTTCTGCTTTTTTTGGTGGTGTTTTTGTGGCATATCATTTGTTAAACTCTTCAGGATATTTTGGTGGGGTGGGAAACATTTTTATTCCTAGAAAACTTTATTAGCAGGGGTTGTTGGAGGCTTTTTAAGTGGGATAAAACAGGTGGAATGAAAGGGGTTGAGTTTTGTGGCTTTTTGGTGTTTGTTATTTGAAAGGCTTTGTTCAGCTGCATGTAAGGCCTATTCAAGCAAATTAAATTAGCAAAACATCTCAGTTACTATCTGTGTCTGACAGGCACATTCAAGCTGCTTCAAACAGAGGAGGATTATCAGCAAAGATCCAAAGTGTAGACCTTTGGATTAGAAAGTATGAAGCATAATTGAATTAATAAATACTAGTCCATTGTTTTAAGTAAGGACTGTTAGTGTCTTATAGGCTAATCTATATGGTGAAGCAATTAGATGGTGGAGTGAGAAGACTGAGTTACCCACAAAACTCTGGAATGGCCATGAATCCATGGCTTATGGCTACTGACTCTGCTGCATTGCTGGAAGATCCCCAGATGGAATGAGTTTGTTTCTTCCAGTTGTATGCCTTATTGCACTGGATCATGTGCACAGTATGAGAAACTGCTGGGGTCAGGATGTGTTTATTCTTCTATTATGTGTTGTAAATTTGTCCCTTCTCTTCCTGTGTTGTTGCTTCTATCAGTTTCAATAAATCACTGAAAAAGTGGTAAGGATTATTTTTTTTCTCAATTTTTTTTTATTTCTGCTCAGACTCTGATAGTGGAATCACTCATGGCCATATGGGTTATGTGTTTTCGAAGACATACACACCTACAGATGACAGCTACGGATGCCTAGCTGGCAACATCCCTGCCCTTGAATTGATGGCTCTTTATGTGGCTGCAGCCATGCATGATTATGATCATCCAGGAAGGACTAATGCCTTTTTGGTAGCAACAAGTGCTCCGCAGGTAAATAAATCTCAAGCAGTGTTGCTGTTAAGTTTGGAAAGTTCTCAGTAGCAGCTTCTTCCTGCCTTGCGGCTTCCATTATGCACAAGTCTACCAAATATTTTTAAACAGCTTATCAGTGACAAAAAAAATCACTTCATGTAGGGATTGCCAGAAAGAGTCTTCTTACCCACCCTCACCACCTTCAGTTAGTAGAGCTGTTAAGAAAGGTACTGATAAAATGTCTTAGTGAAGGAGAAGTTAACGCTCTGCTGACTGACAGAGAATCTGTAACTGTGAAATAAAGGAAGAATTATTCTACCCAGTAAGCCACAGAAAGATTAAAATACAATAAAAAACACGATGTGCCATGCAAGTTATTTTATGCATGACTGTAACTTATTTTCTGTTGTTCCTATAGAGTATGAGCAGCTGCAGTCTTTTATGAAGGTATTTTTACACTATGCGTCTACCAGGGCAGGAGTATGTGTGGAAATGAATCTCAGTTTTATAAATGAAGAATTGAGACTTACCTAAGGTTACACAGAAGTTGCTGCCAGTGTTGGAAGTTGAATTCAGCAATTCTGAGTCACTGTTTATTGGCTTAGATGAGAGATCATATTTGCTTTACGCAGCTGACCTGCCTGGCTTCAGCGTAATGTTCTGAAAAAACAAGAATACCATATTGCTATCACTGTGAGAGTTATGCATCTTATTTTGGTAAAGATTTAACCAATTTTGGATGTTAGCATTGTGTCAGGCTGAGTGTGTGTTGACAGGTTGCAAACTGGAATTGCACTTGTTTCTGTGTTTGGAATCAGGCCAGTATGGACACAGTTGCAAAGTACAAACACCAAAGACAATAATCCCTGTTAAGTGAGATTAAAATCGGGGAAGCACACACCTATATTATACTAGTCATTAATTTGTGGCCTGAAACAGAATAATCTCTTGACATATGATGCAGTTCAGTCAGGAGCTGAAAACCCGTGAGCATGAAAGACCAAGATTTTTCAAATCAAATCTTCCAATAATTTTTCACCATCACAACAGTTTAAGTGTCTGCTATTAGTCCTGACAAAATCACATCTTCAAACCTTGAGAAGTTCTTTAAAAAAACCTGAACACGCAAATAACCAACCAGAACCTCACTCCTGTGTCATGCCCGTGTCATTCTCATTTCTGCATTGTAGTGTTTCTTTTGCTAAGAGGTTTCTCAACTTTCAGCTGCCTCTGTTGCTTTCACAGGCAGTGCTGTACAATGACCGCTCTGTCCTGGAGAACCACCATGCTGCTGCTGCCTGGAACCTTTTCATGTCCAGGCCAGAGTACAACTTCCTGGTCAATCTTGACCATGTGGAGTTCAAGCATTTCCGCTTCCTTGTCATTGAAGCCATTTTAGCTACTGATCTGAAGAAACACTTTGATTTTGTTGCCAAATTCAATGCCAAGGTAAGAAGATGGGTTCAGGTTTGTGGTGGATGGTCAGAACAGATTGTGGATCACTATGTAGCACAATAGTGAAAAAGGCTAGAAAGCTAGAAAGGCTGTTGGGTTGCTCTTTCTTCTAAATGTCCTTTTGGCTGCTGTAAAACATTCTGTTGAATGGTAATACAGCTGTTATTTTTTACTTAATTTAGTAGTACAGATTCTTTTCTTTATATATGTTTTATTTTCTTCAGAAAGCAGTTTAAGGCTAAGGATCTTGCAGACTATTTGAATATAAATCCCACTTACATCCTACTTTTCAACATTGTTTTCTCGTTTAATGGCATTGTAGACCTATTAGCAAAGCACTTGGGAAGAAAATCAAAGGTGTTGCAAAGTTTCCATAATGGCTAAATACTTAATGTGAATTTTTATTGGTTTAATCATACTGTTGCATTATCAAAGCACAGAAATAATAACAATTATTTAATTCTAATTTCAAATGCTGTGAAAGCATGATCTTTCTGTCCTACTTTGTTTCAAAAGGGTAGACCCCAGAAAAAAGGTGACTAAAGATCTTTCCTGCATGCTCCATTCAGTGAATATAAAATTACAACCCTGTGAAACCATTCCTAAAAATTTTTGTGCAGTTTCAACCTAAGTTATTGGAAATCACCACATATCAAGTTACTTTAATAAACTCCATCATCCGTCAAAGCTGTTGGCATGTTGCCTAGATTATACCTGTCTTTGGAGCTGGTACTGCCTTCTTGTTCCTTGTGAGAAGCACACTAAGCACAGCATTTTTCTCTTCCAGGACTAGGACCTCCTAGATAGTTTGGTGACATAAAATGTTTTCTTGTGATGTTGCTTAGGATGGATCTGTATCCTGAAAGTTTGAAGCCTCCAGTTGTATGACTGGTTTTGTTTTCCATTTCCCTGTAACATCCGTGTCTTTGTTAGGCTTTAAGAAGCTGTAAAGAAATGCCTTAAATTATGGTCCAGGGCAGACAGAACTGATCTGTAGATCCGTAAAAGACTGAATACCTTCTGCACGCCTCCTAGTCATGTCCTAAAACCTCCTGTAGTATCGGGGAGGTTTCTTTAGGTCTTAAAGTTTAAGCTCTGGGACCATTTTCACCAGCCTGATTTCCTCATGAAGTATTGAACAGATTTGGCAGATTCTTATCTATCAGGGCTACAATGACAATAAAACACAAATAATTTAAGCTGTCTGAATATATCCTTTGAATTCAACAGTTTGAACCAAGACCTTCACTTATGTGAACGTAACCGAGGAATGAAGAAAGACAGGTTAAACCAAGTGATTACTGTGGCTTTGTCACAGAGACTGTCTTAACTGTGGAAGAGGACAAGTTTGACCAAAGTATTAGGCGTAAATTGTGGATATTGAAAACTAAACCTATCGGGCTGGACAGCAGTGTTGTAACCAAGGAAGGTGATACACAAGACACTGCAGATAAATTGGAGAACAGTCTGAGGTATCAAGTCCTGCCAGCTCTCTGTAGATTTGTTAAGGACATCTGTTAACTTTTTTCTCTCTCCTTATTGCTCAAATAGTCAAATGATCATCCATGGAATAAAAAGTGGCGAAGGTGAGCATATTAACCAGTGCTTCTGGCTGAGCCTGGCTTTCCCAGAGTAATCACTGCTTTAAAATAAGTTACTTATGTTTGGTTGGCAAAAAAGGCTTTTGTACTAGAGTGTTTTCAGAGAGCAGACACAAAATGTTAGTTTATGGGTGGAGGCATTATAACTGATAAAATTAGCTCTAAATGATCATATTATTGATTGAGTTGCTGAACTGTAGTTGAGTATATCAAGGCTACACTCAGAGACCCTTCTGTTCAGAAGCAGTGTAAACGTATGTAATGTAAGCATCCTCCCACCAGAAAACTTGCAGTCTGGAAAGTACTAAGAAGAAATAATGAAGGAAGCTTAGTGACCAAGATTTTGATGATATCAGTGCATTGGAGCACTTGCTGTTCTCTGACGTTATTAGTGCACCAAAAGCAAAGCCCTCGCCATATGGGCCCACTGGCATATGGAGCAGGGGACATGTTGACAGAGGACATGGAAGTTTCGTCTAGTCATAGCACAACAACTTTCTATCCATTTTTAACTATTGCAAGCTTGACAATTAAAGCTGTGTTTCATGAAGGGATTTGAATTTCAAAAATTAAGACAACCCATCCCACACCAGGAGATATTCTAGAAGTAAAGGTTGAGATGAGAAAATGTGTCTAATGGCAGTAAAGGGCGCTATGGCTGACCATTTGGAGATGTAAAAGATTGAAGTCCTCAATGCTTTCCCAGCCTCAGTCTTTGGAACTAAGACCTGGATTCAGGAATCACAGGTCCCTGAGGTGTAAGAGAAAGTCTGAAATGGTGAAGGCTTTATCCTCAGTCATTGGCATGAGGTTAGGGAGCACTTAAACAAACTGGATGTACAGAAGCCTGTGGGACCTGATGGGAAGCAGCCATGTGTATAAGTACCTGATGGAGAGAGTAAAGCAGATGGAGTCAGACTCTTCTCAGTGGTATCTGGTGACAGGACAAGAGACAACAGGCAGAAGCTGATATACAGGAATTCGCATTTAAAACCAAGAAGGGATGAGGGTTGTCCATTGGAAGAAGTTGCCCAAAGAGGTTGTGGAGCTTCGCTTCTTGGAGATACTCACAGTTAAACTGGACATGATCCTGAACAGCCTGTGTTAGCTGACCCTGCATTTAGTAGGGGAGTTGGACTGGATGATCTCCGAAGGTGCCTTCCAACCTCAACCTTTCTTCAGTTCTTTAATGTGATGCTTTTATTTTAGAGCAGTTATTAGTATATATAACTTTTATGGTGGGATGTATGGGAAAAACAGAGAAAAGGAAAATCATAGGGAATACTTTCAGACAGACTTAGATCAAATAGAGAAATAAGCTTGTTACATGTGTCTTCACATTGCAATTAAATCACTATGGTGTTTGATGGTAATTTATCTTTGTACACCAATTAGGTAATAACTTCTTTTAAAATGCTATGGGAAGATTGCATTTGTTTTCTTAGCAAAGGCTTTCAAACAAGCACATCATTTGCTAAATATTAATTTCTTATCATTTATCTCAGTGTTCTTTGTTTTTCACATTTTTTCTTTTTACATATCGCTCTACAACTGATTGCAAATTCCAACCTTGGATTAGCTCACCTGCTTACACTCGTGATTTTGTTACACAGCTAAATATGCTGTAAGATACCCCAGGGCAGAACTTTTTTGTGGATGCATCCTTTTACCCAGGATTAGTGTCAAGGCTTTCCTTTTTCTGTCTACTAGGTGAATGATGATGTTGGAATTGACTGGACTAATGAGAACGACCGCTTGCTGGTTTGTCAGATGTGCATCAAACTGGCCGATATAAATGGCCCTGCCAAATGCAAAGATTTGCATCTGCAATGGACGGAAGGCATTGTCAATGAGTTTTACGAACAGGTAAACAAATGCATGTCCAAAGTGACATCTGCTGGTTGCAAGTCTTGTGTTAAACAGTCCTGCATCATGCAGGTGATAACTGAAAATCACAGAGAATAGGGGTGAAGGGGATGGCTACACTAGTCCATCTTTTTGCTGGATCAGTGAAGCCAATTTGTCACAGATGCTTCTGATGTGTCCTCAAAGGCCTTTTATAATGGGGTTTCTACAGGCTTAACTGTTCCCCTATTGCACTACCTTTACAGTGGACATGGTGAACAAGTGTTCCTTTCCTTTGATGTTTTCTTTTTTAAATTATTTTTGCAGTGTTCATGTCTCCTTTCAGTCTTCTTTAATGCAATCTACGTTTTCATCCTTTCTTCTTTTCAAGACATCAGCTTGTTCTCATTGCTCTCTTCTGCAGTCACTCCAGGTGGCTGTCATGCTTATTGACATGCAGACTCCAAAAGTGGACACAACACCCTTTTTGAAATGATCTAAACAGAGAAGAGGAATCATTTTTAGCTTCCCTGTGGGCCACATCTCTGTTCACACACACAGGACCCTTATGGGCTGAACACGACTATAGCATTGACTTTCAGTTTATTACAGACTAACCATATCTGCTTGCTACACATTGATCCTGACTGTTCTTATTTTTGAAGATAATACTTTCAGCTTTCAGAGGATTTGTCAGTAGAACTGCAGTAATTATGCAAGGCTCAGCTGATGGTAGCACAAGGAAGGAGGACAGTCACTGATTTACAAAGACCTGGGAATAGAGCCAGGCACTGGTCCTCTCCTGCTAGGTGTAAAGGAGCCCTTAATTAAACCTTTTCTCATTATAACCTATTTAGCCCTGCTGAGTGCAAGGGACAGGGCTGTTCCCACACTATTCCTCTGTTTCCAAAGTGGGAACATATTTTGAATGTGCTGATTAGACAAAACTCTACATCCTGTCTTTTTGAGAAGAAGCAAGCAGGTTAAATCACTGAACCAGACACCCCACAGATTTCTCAAGGAGGCTGTGCAGTAACTTGAAGTCTCAGACTAATCCCTTTTAAAGCCTTTTCATCTTCTCTTAAATTTATTGTACTTACAGTTTGAAAAAAAAACAGGATTTTCTGCTGCTGCTGCCATATGGAGTATGTAAAGAAATAGGAAAAGGGATAAAATTTAGACACTGACCTGAAGCTCCTTCATTTATGTTAGGTGTCCTGAGAAAAAGAGAGAACAATAACCCTTACATGTATTACATACATAGTTGGTTCCATTTTTCTTTTCATTCTTTCCTTAAAGAAAGAGAGTCCCATAGAAAGAGGTCAACCTTCATGTCCCAAGTACTCCTTCAGGAGATACTTCATATTTGTTTTCATTAAAACTCTCCCAACAAACTGTACTTCACTTAATTCTGGTGGTGTTCATAGCTTATGTGGGTGACTACTGCATGCAGACAAAGTCTGTTGCTCAGATAAATGGTATGACTCTTCTTTGGTCCCACGTAATTAATGTCAGAGGGTAGTAGGTGCTCCAGTACGTTAATATTGTCAAAGTGTTGGATAGTGAGATCTAAATCAAACTTGAGAGGAGCATGTGTGTCAGGACACTGTGTTATCTGTTCCAGAGTAGGAGTCTGGGTTACTTTCCACCAGTCAGAAAGGTGTGCTAGTAATGTTTTCATGCTCTTGGAAGCTGCTCCAGAGTGCTGTTGGAGATTATCTTTCTCATAATCCTGTAAATCGATAAATAAATCTACATTCACAATTTCTCCTCTCTGCAAAATTTGATTCAGAATAACATGTTATCTAGATTCTCAATTTATTTAACCTAGGTTAAAAGCTGATTTTCTTTAATGTAATATGGTCTGAGAGGTGTATCAAGCTTCTCAAGTGCTTTTGATTATCAGATTTTTTTCAGAGAGAGAAAACGTCTTTATTTTCTCATTTTTAAAAAGAGGTTTTTTGTGGGAAGTTTGCATTTCCCTAAGACTGTTATCAGAAAACATATGTGCATTCAACCTCTGTTGTGAAAGTAATGAAATATTTCTTAAATTTCCTTTAATAAACACCAAATTAAAAAACTCATATATAAATAAAAATTCCTAATTAAAAGCACGTTGAATAGAAACATTCAAAATCCTGTGTTATATAGCTATAGCATGTTTCCTTTTCTTCCCTCTCCATACTCAACACTTATTTGAAGACAGGTTAGACATATTAAAAAGAACTAAAAACACACTGCAAGATGTTTCACATAATGAATTATGTTTTAACAGATGATGAAAAAAGAACTTATAAATATTCAAGAGTCAGCTTTCTTCCCATTACTGACACCTCACATCCAGGAAATCTCAGATGTGTTACTATAAAGAAGAGTGAGCTGCCACCTCTTCTTAATTTGCTTGCAATTTCAGGATTGGATGGCATGTTTCAGTGTTTTGTTAATACTAATATTTTGCATTTAATCTTTGAACATAACATTTGGGGATAGGTTATCATAAAATAACGAAACACAAGGAACTTACATATTCATTGTGCATACTTCAAAATTTAACTCTTATTCTTTGGCCTGATTAAATTCATTGTCCATGACTTTTGGAAAAATTAGGTTACAAGGAGATAAATTCTCCTTGTAACCTAAATAATGGAAACTGAAAATATCTTTCCAAATTCTAATCTTTGTTCTCAAATATAGATCTCTGTATTGTATTAAAAACTAATTTTCATATTAGGCTTGATTAGTGGGATTAGATTTTTTGCTCGGGCAGATGGCATACAGTCTTGACATGTCCACTCAGCTGAAAACTCACTGGTATCACCAGAATCTTTGCTGTGGTAGGGATGAGTGAGTATGCCAGACTTGGTTCTGCAAATTTTACTTTCTTTTACATCATGAGAGGAGGGAGAAAAAAGGTCTTCCTGTACCTGCCCTCTACCCTCTTTCCCCAAGAAAACCTAGGAAAAACCTTATGGCAAAGATTTACTGCTTCTGAGTAACCCCTGCTTTCATAGGGATCATTCTAATAGTCCCAGAAAACAAATACTTACAACATCAAGCCAAGAGGACCCTTCCATGCTTAGTAAGGACAAAATTAATAAGAAAACTAGTTCAGTGAGATAACCTGTGCATGTAGAAGTTCAGTCTTGTTCCCTGCAAACAGGTGGCTGACTACAGGGTTGTTGAACTAATAAGAATCACAGAATCAGACGGGATTTTTTTTTTTTTTTAGTAACTTGAAGAAAGGAAGAAATTAATTATTTTCACATTTTCACACTCACAGTGTACAGTACAGGACAAGGGCAGTGGGTATCATTTTGCACAGTCATCAACTAACATCCTTGTTAAATTCACACTATCGCTGGTGGGTTCTCTTACAAGAAAAAAGCTGTAATTTTGATTAACCAATTGATGTGATGTCACTAATTTCATGCTGGTGTGCTATGGAAGTGGCATTAGAGGTGAATTCTTTTTCTTTCATCATTTTTAATTGGTTGATGTGCATTGCTCCTTTTCATGACTTTTTTTTTTCATTTACTTCAGAGAAATTACCGCTATTTTTCATTTGCAGGGCGATGAAGAGGCTAGCTTGGGCTTGCCGATCAGCCCTTTCATGGATCGCTCTGCTCCTCAGCTGGCACACCTCCAGGAATCTTTCATCACTCACATTGTGGGACCACTGTGTAACTCCTATGACTCAGCGGGGCTGATGCCAGGAAAATGGATAGAAGATAGTGATGAATCAGAAGACACTGATGAGCATGAAGAGGAAGAAACAGCAGAAATGGAAACTTGTGAAAATGCTGAATCCAGTAAGATGGTCACACTTAAATTTTTCAACAGAGAAAGTTTCATATTGTGGCCAAAAAGCTAAACAGACATATTGTAAAAGCATAGAGACTGTGAACTGGTGAAGTTCAACATGGGCTTCTCCAGAGTTACAGTGATTCAGTGCTGCCTTTGGTAAAGCTGGAATATAGCCAGTTACATTGGTAATGGGGATCCTCCATGTTTTCAGGACTGATGTGTATTGCTGTTCTTATCTGCTACTCATTTCTGCCTTCATTTAATCCTGCATGCTTTAACTTTTCCTCTCTTTTGTGTTCCTCCTTCCCCCAAATTTCCTACTACTGTTCTTTTATTTCCTTCCTCCTGGTCATCTTTCTCCCCTTCCTCTATATCTAATCCTTCTGCAAAGCATCACCCTTACATGCACCAGTGAAATAGTGATTTATTATTTTTTTTCTCTTAACAGCCTCACTTTTTCTGTTCTTTCCCACACATTTTCATGCCTATCCCTGTTTTCTGTCTTGGAAGCTGAGAAGTAGAAAGATTTGATGATTACAACAAGTCACATAAGGATGTGGAACTAAAATTTTCATCTCTTGATGTGCATAATTGACCTTACGTATCTAGTAAGATCCAGGGTTATACATTTTATAATTAAGAAATCATTGCTGTTGTTAAGTCACACACATTTGCTTGTATCATAAGTTTAGCAGGTTCTCATGCACAAAAGATGTTGTTGAGAACACCAAATAGTAGGTAATACAGCCCACAAAGGTTTGTTTTGGCACCTTATGGTCTATCAGCTCTGTAATAGCAGGCAGAGCCACATATTGAAGTGGCAGACTGGCACTTACGGAATCACCTAGAGGGGGAAAGCTTATGTGGCAAGTAACCAACATAGACCCCAAAGCCTGAAAATGATACTGCGGTATTAAAAAAAAAGATAAAGGATCTTCTGATTTATCCATTGGAGTGTCTAGCCTTACTTTAAAAGCCTTCGTTCCCTTTCACCTCATTTCTCTATTAACTTACCTTCTGTATCACTGCTAGTCAAGTCCAGCAGTGCTACTTTCAGGTTAAAAGCACGGACCAATTTTAACCCTTGTCACATTGCAAACAGACCTTTTTTATTTGTCTTCTGTTTTCTTTTTCACATTCTACTCCATGACAGTACTTTAATACTCAACCTGGTGCTTTTAGACTCTTTATCATTTTTTCAAAACCTTAAAAATTAATGTATCAGAAGTTTTGAAATACCCAAATGAGTTATTTCTATTTCATTCTTACCAAATGTGGGGTGCTTGTTTCTTGATCATACGAGCATGTTGAAGACTGTTTTCTTCCAGTTCCCTGAATTCTATGTGATTGTGTGGACCTGAATCAGGTATATACAGCAAATTTGTACCAATATAGGGGTCTTACAGGTCATTAGAAATTTATATCTATCATCTACACAATTTTGGATGTTCTAAACTTTCTCAGTGAAACAAGAGGTTAAGATGTCAGATACATACATACAGAGAGTTGTGAAAACGTTGGGAAAACTCTTTTTCTTGATGGAAATGCCTTTTAGGCAGGTGGAAATATAATTGTAGAAGAAAACACTTCACTTAGGTCCCGATAATTCACTAAAGCATTTGAGAAAAATAGTAATTGAACCTTAAGGTAGCTTAAAATTGTTTTTTGATATTATGTAGGTAATTCCCCCAAAGTTGTGATGCAAGCGTAAGAATTAAACCAAACTCAGTCTTTAGTAATTCAGAGCACAGCAAGTGCTTGCTGGTGTCTGCAGAGAGCAGCAAGATGCGGGGTCACCCAGGAAACCCAGAAGAGAATGTCCTGCTGCAACTTTGGCAGAATAGAGACTTCTTACTAGTGCTAAACCTGAAGGTTTCCTGCAGGGAACCAAGGGCTTTCTAATGAAGGATTGAACTGGATTTGGTTTGTGCTCAGTGAAAAGCTCTTTGTTTCCAGTTCAAAAGCTTCAAGGACTAAACATTTTGGAACCTGACACAGGCATACTTTAGGCAACCTGCAAGTACTAATCTACGCAAATTGATTTGGTACAAAACATTCCTCTGCGTCATTTTTTTTTTTTTAAGAGAAATAAGCAGTTGTCTTTGGAGGGGTTATTATTTCAGTTGTGTGACTGCCATTGCCACTATTGATGACCAGGGAAATTTTCAAGCTCTGTACCATTCAGGAGTTAAGAATCTATGTTGAACAGGCTATACTGATACAGAAAAAAACACACTTCAGACAGCAAAACACTTGCAGTGCAGCTGTGTCAGGAGCCATGAGAACTACCACTTGAAAAACATTTTATAGCTTAGCAGCAGGGAACTGATGCTTCCAAACCAAAGACGAGCAAGCTCCCTGATAGTGTTTAGTGGTCAGTCTCCTTTGCTGAAGCAGTGCTGTGCAAAGGCTTTAAGGTCATCTCCACCCCAAAGGTGGAATGGTCAATCTCTGTCTTTGAAAAAGGAGCATAGGAATGTGTTATCTCCTTTAATTACTAATGTTTGCACATTCATTATTCTTCTACAGCTCAGATCAGAGCTAAAATGTGGAGACAACAAAATTGTGACTGGTTTTTTACAGGGCATTCAGCAGGGATCCATTGGGGGCGGGGGGGGGGAGAGGGCACAGAATGTGATGTGTGTGTTACGGAGTAAGTTGATCAGTCTTTAAGTACTTGATACAAAAAAATTAGCAGGAACAGCTTAGCAGCATGTTTTATGCTAATCATTGAAGCGCTGGATGTGTTCATGAGCTGCATAGTCAGGGACAGCATGCAGCTTATGATAGGATGAAGCTGAGGCTCAAACTATGCAGGAAACCAGTTTGTTCTTCTGGAGGTCTGGAGAGGCATAGCTTTTTGAATTTAAGACTGTTAAAGTTTGTGAGTTTCAAAATCTGTTGATTCAGTTCCTATATGCCGTAGTACACCCTGTGTGCTTTCTACACCTTCAGTCCCTTTTTCTTCTTCTCTCACAGAAAATAGTACCTTAATGCCACACGGTATTTTGCAGGAAAGAAGAAGTTCAAGAGGAGGAAAATCTACTGCCAGATCACTCAGCACCTGCTTCAGAACCATAAAATGTGGAAGAAAGTGATTGAGGACGAGGAGAGGTTAGCTGGGACAGAGAAGCAAGGCACGGAACAGTCCACACTGCATCAGTCTTCAGAACAAATCCAGGCCATCAGGGAAGAGGAGGAAGAGAAAGGGAAGCCCAAGAGGGATGAAGAGGAGAACACAACTGTAGAACCAAACCAATGACAATATTTACAGCAGTATTTTAAGACAGATTGATTTGTGCACAGATGCTTTCTCAAGCCAGCACAGCATTTAGACACAACACTGTAGAAGTATGGGATAATGCGCCTACAGCTGTTTAATTTGTTTCTCTTTCCTTTTAATGGTGAGGTACATTGTTTAAACTCCTATGCTCAAGGAAGCTTTCACACTGCGACACCGGCTTTTACAGACTTTCTTTAAAGAGATTTGGGGGTGGGTGGAATTATATAAATATATATATAGCCATGGTTATTGGCTGCGCACTTCAGCAAAATACATTTAATGATATATTATGGTCACTGTGATATTTACAGAAGAAAGTTATCTAAGGAAATGCTGCTTCTAAAGCACATTTGCAGTTAACAGTAAGGTACCAGTTAAGTAGCTTTTGCTCTTAATGCTGAGGGATAAAAGTTCCAAAGCTTTATATGAATGCTGATATAACCTGCCAACATCTATGTGTGCATGAAGAGGTGTTTGTGGGTGTGAGTGGAAGTAACGTAATATAGCATAGTTTGAGTTCTTATTCCAATAGCTGTAGCACATGTCCCAGTACACGACAACAAACAAAAGGCCTGAATTTCAGAGAATTTGTCCCCACAAGGGAACTGGAGACCAATTTGAGGAGATTTGCATTCACTCCAAGTCCCAGTTTGCACTTACAGCTGCCAGCAGCAGCATTTCAGCAGGGGACATGGTGGCCCAGGCTGCTGGCCTGGCCCCATCCAGCTGTGTGAGTTCCTCTGTCTCCTCTTCTTCCTTCTCCTTGGCACTTCCCAGACTGCTGGCAAAAGGGATATGCCAGGAAACTTATTTTCCGAAGGGGGTTACAAGGGTCAGTGTGGCATGCTGGTCTGTTCCTCTTGAGAGGGCCTGGCCCTCTGTATACTTCTGAGTGCGCGAATAGCTGTGTGGGGCAGTGTGCATCTTTGGGCAGAAGAGGTGAGAGCAAATGTATGTCCTTGGAAGGCAGAGGCATGCTGTCCTCTTCCTACCTTAATCTTACGCCTCCATGCATCAGTGGCCAAATACATAATTTAAGAATGAAGCTAGACTGTATCTCTTAAGAACAGAAGGGGAGTGTGGGGCCATGCCCTTCCTCAGAATAAAAGGCAAACGATGCATTAGGAGCAGTGTGGGAGACAGGTGCCAGTTCTGCATCAACAGGACACGTGTATATCTCAGTTCACTCACATGAGCTTCAGAGAACTTGTTTTTTCAGTGTGAGGTGCTGGATAGGAGCAGTTTGTTGCTGGCATTCTACTTAGAAGCAGCATGTTTGACCCCACCAATATACTTTTTTTTTTTCTTTTTTTTTTTTTTTTATTAAGACAAAGGAAAAGATCAGGCCTGTAGGAAGAACAGATCTTTTTGTTGTTGTTGTTTATTTGTTTTTTCTGTTGTTTATGCTGTGAGCCAAATGTCTATTTAAAAGGTTGGATATTCACTTTCAATATTTTATTTCACGATATTATATTTGTCAATGATTAGCTATCTAGATGTAAATATGGAAAAATTTTTATGGGTTCCTGTAGATAATGATATCTTAAAAAAAAAAAAAAGAAAAAAGGGAAAAGTTTTTTTGTAAAGCTAATTTTTTAAAAAATAAATACAAAAATTTTTGTATACAGTGTAGCCATTTCCAAACCCACCAAATAAAGTCTTGAGTAATTTGTAGAGGCCCTTCTGGGAAGCCAGTGGTCTACAGAATCAAGGCTTTAATATATTAATGCTCTTTGGGACTGGCAGCACCAACCAGTACCACACAATTTAGAGTTTTGTTCCCACAAAATGAATTATATATATAAAGTTCAGTATCACTCAGAAATCATTTGACTGCGTATGCTTTTTATATTTTGATCCTGCAGCCCCTTGCCAAGAAGAGGATTGCTTGTGTAAGGATGCTTGTGAAAGGCAGAGTTTGTAGAAGTCCTTTCTATATTGAATTTCCAACATTTTATCCATCACTTTTTGCTATTGTTATACATTCACTGTATTTCATGACCCTATTGGTACCTCCCAAAAAATGTTGGAAAACATTTTCTATCAAAGCCAATCATCATGTGTGTTATTACTTCAGTTTCTTTTTGCTTTGCATTTCAATTAGCATGAGCTTTTACTCAAAACAGGATTGTGATTTCTTACAAGTTGTATTTGCCTGATACTGCCCCAGTCTTATTCCTACCACTAGAGAAGGTGTTTGCCTTTCAGCAGAGTGACTCTAGAGCATAGCTCTGAATGCTCTTAGCAGAAATATTCAGTAAGTGTTTCTCAATGAAATTGGAAAAGCAAAGATCCAAACTGCACTCATTTTAAAGAGAAAGTATACAGCTGACTTCATTCAAAAGAAAAAACAGATGTCTCCAAGACCTCAGCAAGTCTCTGCCAATCCCAATTTGCACTGTTTTCACACCTCTTCAGTCACTTGGATTAATCATTTTATTTGGGGTTTTCTTGTACAAGTTCTCATACCTTACAGTATGAAAATAATTTAATATGCCTCATTCTGTCCTTATAAAAATTAAAGAGATATTTTAAAATGTCACATCTCCAAGCACTTTCTTCTCCATTTTCAGTGCATGATCACTGGGACTGGATTTTTTATATCTATTTTTATATTGTCTTTGCTAGAAGAAGGAAAAAGAAGTTATAGCAGAAAGTGTTAATGAGTGCCCAGTTGTTAAAATTACAGAGAGGCATTCAAGAATGAGGCAAAATCCTGCAAGTGGAGTTTCACATACTCCCCTATGCAGGCGTACACAGGGTTGAACTAAGACAAATTATCCTAAAAGTGGTCTAAAATGGAATTACTGTATTTGGAATTACTCATTTTCTAGTCATCATTTTTGGTTGCCATTACATAAAATCAGTGTCAGTTTCTAGTTTGTTAAGGTTTCTTTCTGTATTGCCAATGTAGCTGTCATAAATTGCTAGTGAATTGTTACAGAAACCTGTTTGTGGATATAGTTGATTAACTGAGGTCTTTTACAGCAAATGAGTTGCTGACAGGCTTAAAATCAGAATGACTGTTGATTCTGTCCAAACTGGAAGGAATACCAGTGAAGAAGCTGAAGTAGCTGGGAGTGGTTAACTTGGTAAGAGGTGACCTTTTTTACACTCCAAGTGGTTAGTAATAGAATCCAGTTTCTGCAGGTGTTCAATCCTTGCGAATCTGAGTTTTATAGTCTTTGCCGTGCATTTCTGGCAGGCAACGATCAGGAAATTTCCCAGCTTGGATTAAATATAACACAAAAGAAAATTCAGAGAAATTTTACAAGTATGTGAATACCATTTTTTATTTGTGGGCTTTTTAGTAGATAATGAAACAGGTAATGTTCAGGGGGGGTTATAATAGTTCCTAGTCTAAAGGAAGCAAAGCTTTTGACCTGCAGTTGCAGCAAACTTTCAGAGTCTAGATCTTGATGGTTTTCCACTTTGTGTAGTCGTTTGGTGTTGCAAACCCCAAATAAACCACGGCCTGTGCAATATTTTTATGGAAAAAGAAAAAACAATAATGAAAAATAATTGCATTCTATCAGCAAAGTGATCAGAACTCAGGTGGGTTTACAATGTTGATAGGGGTTTCTGGTATATACAGTATGCAGAGAGGTTTGTTAGATAGCAGAGAAAGCAAACCCCATTTAAACAGTGTTTTGCAGTAACAAAAATTTATGTATTTTAGTTTTTGAGTTCTTTAAAAGCAGGGAAAGTTTTTTTGCAGTGCTGGCAGCTCCAGTGCAGTGAACACTTTGCCCCTCATGTAGCAATTACATGTAAGCCCTTTTGTACCCATATTCCCAGTTTGCTCAGTAGTCACGTGCTGTTTATAAATAGTGGAATATAACTTCTCTCATTATGTTTGTGTTGCAGAAGTAACACACAAAAGTAGAGAGTGAGAAAGCCCCAAACTGTTTATATTATTACTTTTGAGGACAAGTCTGAGACTTTAGTATCCAAGAACCCTGAAATGCCTGTGTCTACAAGTAACAATTTCCACCATATACGAAGGGCCATAGTTTACTATTTATGTTCTGGGTCTTAAGGGAACCTGGCATTTCTTGGTTTGTTTTGAGTCTGTGCACAGAGCATGTTGATGCGCATCTCTGAAAATCATCTACCTCCTCCAGTAGGAAGAGGGTGTTCGGTTGCAAGCCATGGGTCAGAAGTCAGTTGCAGAAATCTACTAGGAAAAAGGGATTTTATTGTGCTTTTGGCAGCATTGGGAACTCCCTTCCTCTCAGAGTGAAATCCTTACAGAAAGCTGGGGAAATAGCTGTGTGTCAGCAATGGCCACCCATGTGGCAAATAAGTCGCATTCCGGTAGTAAATGGTTCCTAGGCCAGATGTAATTTGAGAATGCATTTTTTAGCAATGCAAGGATAGTTTTTCATCAATTTTTACCCTGATATCATGTGTGAATGTCTTTCTGTATCATCATCAATTAAAATCCAAGATTGTGCTTGCTCAGGACCTTCTGAGTGGATGCATTTGGATAAAACCTCAAGGTTTTATCCCTTAGTGAACTATTAAAAGTTCATGAGATCTTGATGGTCTGAATTTCAAAGGAAGTCTGTAATGGCTCAGATGGATGCTTCTTAAAGTGCCATTTAGCATCCAAGCAAATTCTGTACCCACCTCTCTTTTTATGCTTTCCATGCTGGACATTAAGTTCATATGTTTCCTTCAGAAAGATCCCCTAAGTTTCTGTTTGCTTTTTTAGATACAATTTTTTTCTGAAATTCAGGCCACATCTTTCTTACTTGCTTCAGAAACATCCCAGAAAGTAGAATGCCTTGTGGAGAAGTCAAGGATCTTATCACACTGAGCATCAGTCAGTGGTGCAGCCCATGAGGCATGTTGATATCCAGCACTGTGCCCATGCTGCTGAGCTGTGAGCTGAGCAGGTCTGGGGTAGCTGTCAGTTTGGGTATTCGGCAGCCTAAGCCCTACCATTTTTTAGTGGGACTTGGTATCTTAGAGAATTTTGTCAATTTCCAAAGTAGAATTTAGGCACTTTTGTAACTTTTACTGTAAGTATAGTCCAGCAAAAAGTTTGTGATTGGCCCCAGGTGTTAATTAAGTGCTTGTGCAAAGTCTCGTTAAATATGTGGCACATGATGCTTGGTCGATGTGGTGTGATCATGTGCTGGTAATGGTGAGGGCTTTGGTGTTGATAAAGATGGTTGCAGGTTTGAGTCCACTCTCTCACTGATTTTCCATACGCACAGCCAGATACGCCAGGCAGTGTGAGCTTGGGCAGCCCAGCAAACCCAGCTCTGCCCAGGGCTGTGATCCAGAGAAGGCACATGACACTTGACCAGTAAATACCCCATGAGATGCACCAGCTGATTCAAGCATGGAAGAGGCAACACAGATGTGCTGTGGTTCATTCTGAAGCTGTGCCATCTGACATGGCATCCAGGAGGTTGGGAGGGCAGCAATGACATCCTGTGTCTTTTCTGTGAGACTTTTGACTGTCAGAAAACCTGCAATTCATAAAAATGTGTATTTGCTACTACTTTTGCAAGTACTATTATGTTTGAGATGTTCCAGTGTTATTAGATTAAGGAAGAAAGGTTTCTAATTCAAGGACAAATGTGAGACTTGCTTCAGCATCTATTCTGTTGCCTCATAGGTGGAAGATTAGATTGAGTCACATGTCCGGAGAAGAGAACCTGCCTCTCCCAGGTCTGCTGCAGGCACTGTAGCTGGGAGGCAGGCATGGATGGTTGCTTTCTCTTTCCAGTCTTTGGCCTGGACATTGGCCTGAGAACTTGGGGTATTCATCAGCTGTTAGCACAGCTCTGGTGTAATTAGTCCTCAAGTTGCTGGAGCTGTAGATAATACAGGGAGAAAGTTAAACTGGCAATTCTTGGGAAAGAGAAAAGGAAATTGTAGTCCAGTATGAAACAAACTTTGTACAGCACAGTATTCCCTTTCTTTCAAAATCAAATGTAATCCCCCTAGAAAGAAGTAGCGATGGAGTTTCTGGGCTTTTAATTACTGTTTGATGTTGCAACATTAGTCAAAAGAGTGGCAGTACTGCAGAGAAGGTAATTGTTCCCATTGGGGGAGGGGGGGAAGTGTCTTTTTTTGGTATGTATATTTTTAGGTGACCCAACAAATAAGAGTGTCCATGCCTGCTGAAGAAAATTCATATTAAGTGTTTCTGAACAGGTGGGGGAATAATTGAAATTACGTGGCAGCTGTCTTAGCAGTCATTGGGAGAGCGAGCAAAAAATACTGTTTATTGGAGGCAAACTTTGAATTAGAGCAAAATAGGACCAGTACTTTTGAAAACAACTTAGTGTGATAAATCTTTCTTTGACTTTTCATCGCTTTCATTTAGCAAAACAACATTCCTCTGGAGGTAAATCAAAGCAGGGGTTTAGCCCCTGCTGTGGCAGTTATTGAATCCCAGTGGTGAAGGGAGCAGTGCGAGAGTTATCCTCCATTTACATCCTCATTATGATTTATTCAGAGGCCATTAGTGGGATTTTCCTGGCAGGCAGGTGTTCTCTTGAAGAAAAATACATCATGCCTCCTCGGTAGGATGCAGAACTTGCCTGCATGAGCACCCACCTGAATTCTTAGGACAATATAAGCTCCTCAGGAGCCTGCAGGCAGAGGAGTGCGGGTGGACTTGGGGGGATTCTATTCCTGCAATGACAAAAGGGGGCAAAAGCTTGAGCCAGTTAAAACAATTCTTTGATAAAACTGAAACACCAGTAATCATTATGGAGTTTGAAAGCTTGCCAATGTCACTAGAGGTGTGTGCCAAAATTCCCCAAGTGCTTGCACATGTAAAACTATTTCTTCTGGAAGGTGATGAGTTCAGGTAAAGCCAGTTAGTCTTGCACATGATCTATCATGCTGAAAGACATTAGTAGTAAACTAGTAAACTAAGACAAATTTTTGATGTAAGTGCTTTATTTCTCCCTCATTAAAGAAAATTTTCTTGGTGCTAGAGGAGGAAAAATTATGATGATACTTATTTCAGTTGAGCTTTTCAGGTGGTTAGTCCATGCCATTGTTTCTTACTTGCAATGCCAAGGTATAGAAGTGGAACAACAGATGAGACTTGTTCTGCTGTAGATGGCAGAACATATGGGAGCTGTGTGCAGCAAGGAGTAGCTCTGAAATCTGCAAGTGTGAAAAATGTATGCCATCAGTGAATTATATAGGGACACCCAGTTCTTCTGTCTGTCTGGAAGTGCAAGAGCATGCATAAAGGACTTTGCCACAGCTGTGGACCATGTACCTGTCATGATTGAATTCTCTTGTCCTAATTAAAAAAAAACCAAAATCCAAACCAAACCAAAAAAGCGAACAACATGTAGAAATTAGATCAAATAAGCAAAAGACAGTGTGTGCTGTGGCCCTGACGAGGCAGGTGTGAGTTAGCTTGGTCTCCCTCAGGAGTACAGATGGAGCTGCGCTTGGACCTTTGGCCTGCGAATGGTGTGGGGTCCCAGGCAGCACAGCATGGCATGGGGGGAGGAACTGGGGGAAGGTAAAGAACAAATGCTGAATTTCAGGTGGCTGTTGTCAAAGTAGAAATACTTTAAGTATTCCAACTCTGTACGTACCTCACTATGGTTTGCTCACAGTGATAGCCCCAAGGCAGTGGTCTTAGATGCTCTAGTTTTCAACAGCATCTTCCTTTACCACAACAAACACAAACAATTAGTGTGAATTAGCAATCACTCTTTGCTTTTAAATATTTATTTAAAGTATATTGAAGTGTTTGGGTTTTGTTGTGGTTGGGTTTTTTCCTCCCCAGCCTTACTAATTTTGCCCTTATGCATTCACAAAAAGGAAAAACACATAAAAGGTCTGTAATCTGATCAGAGAGAAAACACTCCAGCGTTAGCCATGTGTGTACATACTACTCGAGGTAGAAAGCCTGTTGTCAGTTAAAACTATCTTTCCTTTTCAGAATTCCTACCTGACTCTGACAGATGATGAAAATCTGCATTTGAATGCAAAATTTTCTTTTTCAGGTGTTTGCAAACCTTAATACTGTACTGCAGATGGTATCTTGAAAGATCAAAGAGAGCATTAATATCTGCTATGTGGTGTCAATATTTTTAATATTTCAACCATGTCAGCATACATTTGGTCATTACTTTTCTCAAGTTAAGTCTTCTTTTCTTGAGTAATCAGTATAAGATGTTTGCATGATGAAAGTAATTTAAGTTCACTTTTTAAAAAGACGTGATTCATACTGTATGTTTGTTTGACGGGTTAACATTTTCACTGAGGGGTGGCAGTTTTTTTTCTAGTGCTTTTGATAGAAGAAAATCTAGGATTTTTTCCAACAGCAACACATTTTTGTAACCTTTGCCTCCAGTTCTGGAAGTGATACTTTTCAGATATATTTTTTTTCCAGTACAGTTTGGCCATCTGGGTAACAGTATACAAGCATTTATATCATGTACAAGATGTGATTTAAAAAGCGGATAATCTCATTTTGATTAAAGTAATCACAAAATTAATCCAGCAAGGTCAAAACCCTTTCTGAATGAAAATTTTACATGTCTCGATAATAATTGAAGCACTTGATCCCCGACCAGATTTTGGGGCCGAATCATAAAAATTTTGTATTTTCAAATTCCCAAAAGGCCAACCAAAGTTTTTCTACTGGAGAAAACGTGGAGAAATTTGGTCGCTATACATCCTATGCTGTGAGTTTTGACTCCTGGCTTGAGACCCTGGGGCACTGTGCCTCAGACAGAACTATTTTATGATGCTCATTCAGACTCAGCTCTAGTAACAAGTTTCTGCAAATCACCCGTGTATCTCAAAATTAATCCCTCCATGAGTTTTTTCACTTCAAAAAGTGAGAAAAAGGAGTGTGTGGGGGGAATGTAATTTTATACGGCTCTATTTGAAAAGGGTTTTGTGTACCTTTATAATTCTTTTGAAGCAATATTTTAAAAACTAACTGCCAGCCAAAGTGGCAATGCAGAAAAGTGCCATCTTGTTTAGGATTTGTACACACCAGTTTTTAACACAGTGTTCTTTTCACTAAGTACTACATACATTAATTTATATTTATATATTGTCAATATTGTAACCGAGCTTCTCCTTTCTAAACACTTCGGGAACAAGGCCTTGTATTTTTAGGTGATTTTCATAAACAGAGTAATTCTTTTCCTTTCACTAGTATCTTGCACTCAATACATGTAGCAATACTTAATATATTCTCTTCACAAGTATTTGTTAAGTGATTTAGTTAATGGCTGATAAATGTTTTGTACAAAATAGATTCTGTACAGGAAAAAAAAATCTTTTAGATAAACATTATTTATTTTTACTGTTTTGTAAGTTAGACACTATAATGAAGCTCCTTTTTGCCAGAATTACTGGAAGTGCCTCTTGGTAAAATGTATTATACAGTAAATATGTATTCAATATTATTAGTAATACTTGTCACAAAATGAACAATGTGGATGTTGCAATGTGAAGACAAATGTACAACATAAATATAATTCTGTGGTATCCTGTTTGCTGTGTTTCTTTTTCCTTTATTGAACCAATGGGCTTTCAGTGCCCAGCTCTCAATTTAAGCACCTGTAGCCTCTTCAAACACTGATTCAAATCCAGTAAAGCTAGCATATATTCATTTACCATTTTAGCTGCCAGCCCTGCTTGATGTTAGTGAACCGTGCTCGCATTTATTGGTATCCAGTTACCTGCAACTTTTACTTTTTAAGTACTCTGCACTTTATGTCAGATCACTAATAAATCCCATGTTAAATGCTGTGTGGCTAAACCAATCTGTGAAAGGTCTCATTGTAAATATCTTTCTCTAATGATGACAGATATTTCAACGTGTCATCTGTGTGTTCTGCCCAATTAATATGGACCATACTGATTGAATGTGGTTTGTATTACGTGGCGCTATTCAGCCGTAGTGATGCAGAGTGACTAACGCTTCCAGAGAAAATGAAACGTGTTATCTTAACAGTGTTTTCCTTATTAATCACAGAAGTAATCTGTTAAAGTGGGATATCAGTAAGTGAAATCAATTTTCTTGTAATTATATTGGTATGTATACCATCATTCTTCAGTGAAAGATTTTGCTAGTCCATTATGTGGGCTAGGATTGACATCTAGCTACTTTCTTGGCTCACTGCTTTCAATTTCAGAAAAGCATCTTCCAGCTGTCAAAAGTTTTCCCCATTTTTTAGCTTTATTGCCTTCTTTCATCAAAGATCTGGAGAGCTCTTCAGCTGCTTTATTTGAAATGGCTGCATACAGATTAGCTGGATCAAGTGTGTATTCAAAGCCCCATTTCCGACAATTTAAAATTTAACAGATTTCAAAATATGGAAAAGGGTCAGCCAAATATCTGGCTGTCAGTTTTGAAGTCACACAGGTTTATTTTGCATCTGCCTTAAACTATGAATGGCAAAAATGTAAGGAAATTTGCACCAGGGAGCGTGATTAGGAAGGTACTGTTTTGCATCATTGCCTGTATGAAAGTAGAATCTGGTCATACCTATTCTAAGGGAACTGCTTATAAGCCTGCAGCTGGTCTGTCCCAAACACTTAATAACTTCATAGCATGGAATTATTTGATCCAAATATTCACTGCTGCCTACAGAGAAGCATACAACTGGATTAGCAAAGAAAAACTTTTCTTTCAGTACTGCTTTTCACAAAGAATAGGACCTACCAAGGTAAAGAAAGCACTGTCTTTGAAAAACTGCAAAGTCTCTCTAGAGCTCTCCAAACAGCAATATGTTCCCATGGGAATTGATGAGCAACAAAACACAGAGCAGAAGCAGTCAATCTGCTAATGAGACCACACATGAGCATGCCTCTCCTGGGGTTCTGGTGAAACATAAAGGAGGCCATGAGGCACAGTCAGTACAAGCTCAATTAAATGTTTCATTTTCCAGGTGTTCAAATTACTCTCAATTGCCCCAGCAAATTCACTTTCCTAAAAGCACTTAAAATGTCTCACTGAAAATAGAAATCTCAGAGAACTCTCAGTGCTCTGTTTAGCAATGCTTTCTTTTAACATTTCTTCAATTTTCTGACCAAAATTCTGTGGAAATTGACATTATCCCTCATGCCACCATGGACTCCCTGTGTATTTGCCAGTGATTCATACAGGGGTAAACCAGCAAATTATTTTGACAAGTCACGTGTAACTTTCAGGTGCTACCCTGACCGGTAGGGTCTGTACCTCTTGAGTAGTCATCTCATGCAGTCCAACAGAGATTTTTTAAGTAAAAGGATCCCAAAGACTTGGCATGCTGAGATAGAAACTGTCAAAGCCAGCTAATTTGTTGGAACAGTTTCACAGACAAGGGGTGATACCATCATTGCATTAATTCATGAGCCATTGAAGAAAACATGCAACTTTAAAGATTTACCCAAGGTTTTGATAGCTTGTGTCACACCCAATCCAGACTGCTAGTTATAATCGCTAAATAACCTGGGATATATGTGCTTGTAATCGTTTGTGAATCTGATACAGATAACATGCTGCAACATCTGCTTCTCTGAAGCCAGGAAATACAAAGCAGAAGGTTCTTCTTTGATCTGCATGATGGCTTCATTTAAAGTGACTTTTGTTGTTGCTGGTGAATTACTTCCCTTCACAATCCTTTGCACATAGCAATTGCTTATTACTGTGCTTGCCAAAGGCATCATATTCTACAAATTCAACACCTTCTGTGTAATAAACTCTTCTGTCAAATTCTTTACACCTTCTCTTTCCACATTTCTAGCCAAAATCTTTGGGTTTAAACCTGCTTCGAAGAACTTATCTGCATTACAGAATGTGCCATGGGATTTTATTAACAGTATTAATCTCTAGTGGCTGGACAAATTCCAGTTTGTTTCTCTTCTTACGTTCTTGTAAATTAAAATTCTCCCCAAAGCTCCAGTGGGTACAAATGCTTTCTGCCCTGAAGAGGTATGTCATGTTACTGGATCTCTCATTCATTTCCCTTCTTAAGCCTGAAATTTTCACAGCAGTCCCTGAGAGCTGCTAACAGCTGAAGTGAGTACTTTGGTTCTTTGATGTGGAATGGGTATGCAAGGTTTGTTCTCGCAGAAGGTTTCCTACTCATTTGTGTTCTTACCAAGTACGTTCTTAGGACTGGCAACAAAAAGAAGAGGAAAATTAAAATAATGAATCCACTTCAATAAAGTAGCATAGCTAAAGCAATTAAAATTATATAGGCAGTGAAACTGGATTGCTTCATTAGTTAACTGTAAATGTATTTGCTGTATCTGCTTGTCATTGACTGTGAACTACAGATTTGCCTAAGAATCACAGCTAGCAGAAATAAGATTTTTATCAATTGTTAAAGTTAAATCATACTAAAATGTAAGTACTGGGAGATGTTTCTTTGACAGAGAAGGTGCTCCCAAGCCATCGTGCTTTCTAAATTCCCTTTATTCTGGCAGCTTCATTTCCAGACTCAACAGTGGTGTAATTCCTTGAGCTTCATGCTCTCTGGGCAAGGATGCAAGAGATCTGGATCTGTTTGAGTTTTTCCTGAGCTCTGCACAAACTTCCTGCATGACCTTGAGCAAACATGAACAGTTCAATCCCTTTCCTTCAAATCTGAGTATTACTTACACTTTAGTTGATTCTCTCAGTCTTGTCTGATTCATCTTAGCTCCTCTCCAGAGGGTCAGGAGACCATTGCCGTAGGAGAAGTCTTGGCCACAAGCAGTTGCTGCCATGACTGACCCTCCTTCTCTGTGAGTTGTTCCAGGCACAGTGGAGTGGTTCAGGCTTAGAGTATTCATGTGCTGTCATAAATGAAATAATAAAGGAGCATTTGGCCAGTGTCAGTCTGAGTAGCTGAAGACTAATTCTACCAAGAGTTTGTACGTAGCTTTGCTTTGCAACACAGTATTAAGGTTTGGGAATGTGTTCTCTTGTCAGACATAGAAATCATGTAGAAGTTCTAAGATTCTAAGTAAGAAGATTTTAAGGTGCTGTATTATTCAAAAACCTATTTATACATTTTGGTTTTCTTTTTAAAAAAGTCAGCATTTTTCTTCTATCAACCAGATAAAAATGTTTCTTTGCAGCTGTTATGTGTGTTTTCAGATTTCCCTGTAAAGTTTATCTTTACAAGAAAGTCCTTATGATTTAAATAAGTCGTTGGAATAAGTTCAAAAAAAAAAAAAGTATTTTACAAAAGAAAAATTCATGCTTCTGAAGGTGGGCAAGGTGGGGAGATTTAAGACTTTACAAGGTTAGCATTTGCTCATGAAATGTACTTGAAAAAGAAGCAGCTGGTTCCCTGGAGCTACAGCTCAGAGGTTTGTTTTTGTTGGATGGTTTAAAGACTGACCTACAAACCTGCTGTGTTGTTAGTGTATTGATATGTCTACAAATCAAGCTTACTCTTGTCACAGCCATTCACTATGGCTAGACTAGGCTTTATAAATGTAAGTAATTTAACCCTGTGCTTTAGAAACCAAGGTGGTCTAGCTTCTAATTTCCTGTAACTCATACAAAGTAGAAATGACAAGAAAACAGACCTCAAGGAACAAGCTTTAGTCTGATTCTTTGTCCTGTAGCTGTTTTAAGGCTTTGTTTCAATTACAGAATAAGTATATATAAGTAAGCAATTTCTTTTAGGACTATGGGAAAGTAAAACTTTTCTTGTTTGATTGACTGTCTAGCAAGCTTCCATTGAGTTTTGTGCTGCTGTGCTTGGGAAGTGCTCTGCTGTGGGAGGCACTGAAAAGTGACACACAGGAAGCGTCATGTCCTCTGTTGGAATTGGTAGTGATTTGTTTCCCCTGTCTCAGTTCTTGTAAGTAAATTGTAGAAAGTGATGTACTGCATTTCCTTTCCATGTGATATCCATGGCCTGGGAGGCTTGGAAAACTAATAAATTCCTACCTGGATGAGACTTTGTCAGATGAACTCATTGAGATTTAGTGAGGATCTTGTATTCATTTACTCTGAGCATCTGGAAAAGTACAATAGAGGACATAAACAAGACCATTTCTGAGGAACTGCAGTAATTCGCTCATGAAGGTGCTTTTCTGGAAGGTGTAAGAAAACTCTGCATAATGGAAAATACCTCCTCCAGGGTGGTTTTGATAAAGCTCCAGTTAAGATATTATCTATACCTCTAAAGAAGTCAGAGAAAACTCTATAAAGAAATTCCAGTAAAAGCCCAACTGTGATAGAAAGCTGATGCTGAGGTTTTACAACGAAGCAGAAATACAGCAAAGATGAGAAGATTGCACTAAATCTTGGGGGCCTCATTCTTCAAAGCATTGCTTCATCTTAAACTGCATAAAATCATTCTGCAAGGGCAGAAGACCATGCCCTGGTGTTCATCAGTATGATTTGTAGCATAATGGGGTCTTAGAAGTTTACTCCTTATATAAATGCCTTTCAAGGAGTTTATGACTCTGAATATGAGGGATATTAAGGGACATTGTGGTGAAGGCTAGCAGTGGCATAATAACTGGTGCCAGAAATCATTGAAGGAGACAAGGTCAGCAACAAAGATTAAAGGTCAGGCACAACTAGTACAGATCCTGTATTGTGTAAACTCAGTTTTCCTAATAACTGAAGGAAACAGTTTGGAAGCTGTTCTATGAAAGAACTCATAATCACTAATTCTCTGAATCACTAATTCCTGTGGAATATTAGGCTCCTTGTTATCTCAGAAAAAGGGGAAAGAGATTTCCAAATTTCCAAACCTAAGGATGTAAGATACATTAAAGGACAAAATGTGAATTACATGCAGTGTAAATAAAATTCCAGCTGCATTAAGAACCCAAAAAGGAAATATAATGACTAATTAGCATTAAATGTAGGAAAGTAGAAGCCTGGTTTGGCATAGCACAGTTTCGAATGTCAGTGAGGTTTTAGCTGCCATGGGACCATACCCTTCTGCAAAGGGTGGGAGAGAGAAAGAAGGGAAAGGAAAAAGAATTTAGAGTTTTAATACCTTCTCTGTTTGTATAATTAAAGTTTAAAGGTTAGCAGAAGACACATGATTTATAGCCTCTCTCAGTTCAAGCAACTACACTGGGAACTAGCAACATTCTTCACCTTTACACAAACTTGTGGGTAAATGTGGTTTCATTTGTGACATTGTGACAGGAAAAACACAGGGTGGGAATGAACTTTGCAAAATATTCCCTTCATTGTGGCAAAAGACTTGTCCTACTCTCCCATGCAGTTCTGTCCTCTCCTTTAATGGGTCTTTTCGTTCCAGTTTTACATTGTCTTGATATGGAGTTTGCCTTGAGGCTTCTGGGGAGCAGGGCGTACCGGACATACCAGGAAGGAACAGGGTCTGAATGCGAAATCTTTGTGGATCACCCTACATCCTACCTTCCCTACCTTCTCCCATGCACACCACCATCTCCTTCTCCCCATCCCCCTTTTTCTTTTTCTCTTTTTTTTTTTTTTTTTTTCTGGTCTGTTTCCCCTTGAAGTCTTTTGTTTCCTGGGAATGAGCAATTAAGACGATCAGGATTGGGTTTTTTTTTCTTTCCTCTTCACAAAGCTATGTCACGTGTCCCATCAAACAGCAACTTCCAAAGATAAATACCTCTGGAAGGGTTTAGATGCTCTTCAGGATTTTCAGCTAGGATACCCAGCGTATTTGCTTTGCCTGTGTCTGCACTGTCCTGAAGTTGATAGGAGGAGAGAAAGGAAGAAAACATTGAGGAGGTGGGGGAAGGATGAGGGCGGGAGACAAACACCAAATGCTCAGGCAAGAAAAGAGACAAAACAAGTTCTCCCACCCTTATGCATTTTCCTTTCTCCACGGCCAGTATAAGATGTACCATCCTTAGACAGAGTACTTTCTAAGAGGTGGTTTTCCCCTCCAATTTTTCTTGCTTCTAAGCTTAGACCAGAGTCCATGCAAGCACTTATGAGTATGCACAGGCAATAGAGGGAGCTTACCTACGATCATTGGTAGGAACCATCTCTGGGATTTTCTGCTGCCAGGTAAGATTTGGCTTTTCTTCTCTTTGTTGAGACACCTTTCAGAGTGGATGTGCTTTACATGGATTCATGAGTAAGCAGTCTCTGTACCAGCCTCCTTGTTCACGTTTTCTGGCAACTGCAGCTCCTACACCTCTGGGCTGACACACACTAAAGGAATGTCTAAGGAGGCTTACTGCAAAGCAAAGGATTTTCCAGTGGGGAAGGACTTTATTTTCATTGCCTGCAGTTTGAATGAGTGGTAACTGCCTGGCAGTGTCTCAGCTTGCTGTATGCATGCTCAGGGACAGATTCATCCTTGGACCTGATCATCAGGCACAGCCCCACATACCAGCGCCTGGGAAGATGAGTGCTTGTGCCACCCAAGCTGTGTCACAGGTGGGTTATCAGGTGTGCTTTCAATTAGATAGAAAGCAGACCCAGCACAGAGGGCTCCCACACCCTGGCCAGCTAAAGCCAGGAATTCAAGTATAGGTTGGAGCCCCAGCTGTGAGCCCTGGTGACAGGCAGGGAGGAAGTGTGAATATGGCCAGCAGCTGTCCTTCAGGCAGAGTGTGACCCGCCTGCACTTACTCATCATAGGTGTGATGAAGCACAGCTGGAGTGCTGCAGTGGATGGCTATCAACCCTTCAGAAGGGATAGGCAAGGAAGGAGAGGCAATGGAGGAACTCTGTATGTTGGGGAGTGTTTTGATTTGTCTAGAGCTTGATGACGGTGATGATAGGATTGAGTGTTTATGGGTAACAATCAGAGGGAGGGCCAGCAAGGCAGATATCATGGTGGGAGTCTGTTACAGACCACCTAACCAGGATGAGGAGGCAGATGAAATATCCCATAGGCAGCTGGGAGTAGTCCCACAATAGTCCCTTGGTCTTGTGGGGCACTTCAGCTTACCAGGTGTCTGCTGGAAATAGAATGTATCAGAGAGGAAACAGTCTAGGAGGTTCCTGGGGTGTGTGGAGATGATAACTTCCTGACACAGTCAGTCAGTGAGCCAACTAGGGAGGGTACCCTGCTGGATCTCCTTTTTGTGATCAGAGAACTTGTGAGTGATGTGATTGGAGGCCTTCTTGGGTATGGCTATCATGAAATGATAGAGTTTTCAATTCCCAAAGAAATAAGAAGGGAGTATAACAGAACTGCAACTTTAAACTACCAGAGGGCAAACTTTGGCCTGCTTAGGAAACTGGTTGACAGAGTCCCTTAGGAGGCAGACCTGAAAGGCAAAGGGAGTCCAGGAAGGCTGGACGTTCTTCAAGAACGAAATCTTAAAGACACAGGAGCAGGCAGTCCCCATACACTGAAGGACAAGCCATCAGGGAAGAAGACTGGTCTGGCTGAAAAGATCCCTCTGGCTGGAACTCAGGGGGAAAAAAAGAGTTTATGACCTTCAGAAAAAGGATGGGCAACTCAGGAGGACTGCGAGAATGTTCTGAGGCTATGCAGGGAGAAAATCAGAAGGGCCAAAGCCCAGCTAGAAATTAATCTGGCTACTGCTGTAAAAGACAATAAAAACTGTTCCTGTAAATACATTAGCAACAAAAGGGGGGGGGGGAGTGTAAGGAAAATCTCCATCTTTATTGGATGTGATGAGGAAAAGGTAGAGGTACTTAATACCTTCTTTGCCTCAGTCATAGGCTGAGTTGTTCTCTGGGCTCTGTGACCCTGAGCTGGAAGATAGTGATGGGAAGCACAATGAAGACACCATAATCCAAGGGGAAATGGTTAGTAAGCTGTTATACCACTTGGACACACACAGGTGCATGGGGCAAGATGGGATCCACCCAAGGGTACTTGAAGGAGCTGGCAGAAGTGCTCATTCAGCCACTTTCCACCATTTATCAGCAGCCCTGCCTACCCAGAGACTACCCCATTAACTGGAAGTTAGCAAATGTAACACCCATCTATGAGAAGGGCCAGGAGGAGGATTCAGGGACCTTCAGACCCCTTCATTCTGACCTCAGTGCCAGGGAAGGTTATGGAGCAGATCACCTTGAGTGCCATCACAGTGCATACAGGACAAAATGGTGACCAGGCCCTGTCAGCATGGGTTTATGAAAGGCAGGTCCTGCTTGAGCAACTTGATCTCCTTCTATGACAAGGTGACCTGCTTAATGGATGAGGGAAAAGCTGTGGATGTTGCCTACCTAGCCTGTTGTAAAGTCTTTGACATGATACCGTATCCTACAGCATTCTTGTAGAGAAACTGGCTGCTTATGGCTTAGGCAGGTGTACTGTTCACTGGCTTGATGGCCATCCCCAAAGAGTTGTGGTGAATGGAGTTAAATGCAAGTAGTGGTTGGTCACAAGTTCCACAAGACTCAGTGCTGGGGCTAATTCTGCTTATTAATATCTTTATCAGTGATCTGGACTAGGGGATCCTACCGCACCCTCAGTAAGTCTGCAGAAAAAGACCTGGGGATGCTGGTCAACAAGCCAGCTGGTGCTCAGACAGCCAAAAAGGCCAATGGCATCCTGGTCTGTATCAACAATAGTGCAGCCAGCAGGTCCAGGGCAGTAGTCTTCCCCCTGTACTTGGCACTGAAGAGGCTGCACCTCAAGCACTGTGTTCCATTCTGGGCCCCTCACTACAAGAAGGATGCTGAGGTGCTGGAGCTTCTCCAGAGAAGGACAATGAAGCTGGTGAGGAGTCTGGAGCACAAGTCTGATGAGGAACTGGGAAATGGGAGCTGGGGTTGTTTCATCTGGAGAAGAGAAGGCTTGGGGGGGGACTAGAACAAGAGATAATGGCCTCAAGTTGCACCAGGTGAGGTTTAGGTTGGATATTAGGAAAAAATTCTTCACTGAAAGGGTGATCGAACATTGCAACAGGCTGCACCAGGAAGTGTTTGACTGCCACGTGTAGATGTGGCACTTAGTGACATGGTTTAATGGTGGACTTAGCAGTGCTAGGTTAACGGTTAGACTCGATCTTAAAGGTCTTTTCCAGCTTAGACAATTCTATGATTATGTTTTGCTGGCATTCCTGCCACGTCTGGGAAGGAAGAGCTGACACAGGCTATCTGTCTTCATGTTTCATGGCACGGGTGAAAAATGTCATCCAAGATACAGCAAAAACTTAAGGCTCTCACTATAACCAAGTCAGGAAAGGACCATCCTTACCAGCCAGATATCTGCTTGAATAAAACAAAAGCTATTTCTGACCTCCTAATGCAGTTGGCAGTATATTACAAGTAATCCCAGTAGAACAACAGTGTTACCGAAGTATTTGAGTGGCATAAGGCAGGTTTGTGATTAGAATGAAATGCTCTTATTTGTGCTGGTTGCACAAAAAACGAAAGATTAAGCTATTATTGCAGTTGGCTGTGGTACCACAGGGCACACTGCTCTGCTCTCTAGTTTGTGTTAACTCTTTCCCTCAGAGACATTGTCATGGCAACAGAACTGTTGCTCTGACATATATGGTTGTAGGTTTCTCTGAGCTTGAAAACTACTGACCTCCATAAAGTTATGCAATAGGAGCAATTTGGGATATATTAAAACTGGTAAAACTTGTGTGGTTATCAGCCCTGTGTTTCAGATATTTACTTTCTTCAATTCTTTTTTTTTCATACCAGGATTGCATACTCTAGTAGCAATATGCAGAGCATTTCAAACCTTTAAATTAAAGGCTATTTATTTGATGTGCTTACATGGCAGCATGCCTTAGATGAGTGTCATGCCCATGCTCAAATATTTGAATTAATTTCCTTACATGAGTGCTGTGAGGTACATGCTGTTATTCACCATTAAGCAAGTTCAGAAATGGGGCACAGAGAGATTATGTGATTTTCACAAGATTGGAAGTGAGTCAGAAGCAGAGTAGGAATACAAGATAAGTTTTCTGTTGCAAGCACAAATAATTCTTATTTTTCATTGGGTTTGTTTTCCCTCCCTCCCCCCTTCCCCCAAGTCTATCTACTCATTAGTGTTGACAATAGTCCCTGTCAGGGCAGTGCTAAATGCAGATATTTCTTATACGTAGTTAGTAGCTCTTAGTTATCTGATGTGATGGAGAGAACTCAGCCAAAATGTTCGTACCACGGCCACAGTCTTTTTGCTTTGTCTATATATGAACAGAACCTGGGCAAGTATTTGCATGAGCAAATCTTAGCATCTAGATATACTTCTGTTATTTTCACTTACATTTCTGGCAACACAAGTACCTACTGTGCAGACCCTTGGGAAGCCATGAAAACACATGTACATATATGTATATATACACATGCATGAAAACATATATATTTTCTACTTACATAAGATCTGTATCTGTAGATAAACATAAAATAATAGGAATGTCTAGTTTCAGGCAGTAGTTCTATAAAACATAGCTCTGCTTAACAGTGAACACAGAAGCTGATTTCATAAATATTTTCAGATCTGATTTAGAGATTGAAATTAAGAACAAAGTACTGCAGTATGTAAGTAGAGATTTAAGAATTACTGATATCTTCTGTTCTCAAAGTACAGTATTTAGGTTTTCTTTACTTCTTTGTATTTACCTGCAAAGAAGAAAATTCACATTTTTCCTGTAACAATTGGCTACTGAGCCCTAAGGCTTTATGTAAAATGGTAAAGGGAACTAAACCCCTTTATTCTTGTGTAACTCATTATCTAACATCAGACGATTAGTGCTAAGGTTTCAACCTAAACCAATTCAAGTCCCTCATTAACAGGGCTAGATTTCCTTTGATCTAATTACTTAATGTCCCAGATATATAGGAAGTTCAGAGATTAGCTCTGAGAAATCTCTGCAGACATCATCACATCTAGAAAAGTGAACTTACGTAGAGGCTCCAGAAATGTTGTTTAAAATGTTAACAATACCCATTTAGTCTGCCGGTAATGCCTGGTTAAATGTTCAATGAAATCACATTGATGATAGCTAGAGAATGAAGATAACTGCTTGCTGAATAGGGTTTAAACTTCATTATTATAGGCAAGTGAATTGCAAATTTCCATAATAAAACATTCAATGCACTTGTCAGATTCTGTTGTAAAGTTTGATAATTGCTGTTGTAAGGAAAACAGTACAGCAGGGTGTTGCTGTCACATGATGAGCTTTTGAGGCTGAGTTATTAGGATGCCCTTTTAAAATGTTCTCCATGTTTTCTGCTTTAGAGGCAAGGGATATCATCATGGAGATTTCATCAAAAGAAAATACTCAGCTTTTCTCAAACACAATCCTGCTTGTTGACCGAACTTCGTTCAAATCTGAATCTTCCACATCCAAGGAAAAACAGTCGTATTGTGGAGGTATAAAGGTAGAGTAAGAGGTTTTGACTATTCCAGTAGGGACTTAGAAAGCCTCTTCTTTTTTCTTTTTTTCTTTTTTTCTTTTTTTTTTGTGAACTATCCCTTTTTCCCTTCTGATTATGTTTTGCTGAGTCACTATGAAATTATTAAATATTTTTCTAAGTCTCAAAAAAAGTCTGCTTCAGATCTTCATTTGCCTAGCATTTGGCAATGTTCAAATACAACATGATGGTTGAGGCTTGTGTTATGAGATCTTAAAGGATATTCCTGAAAGGTCATTATATCCTCCTTATTGCACCACCCTATTTTCCTGACCTTAAGAACAGAGCATTGGCAGACATGTACCACAGGTAGCTGTTAACACAGATTGCTTTTTTAAGCTTGTAGACATGGTAGTCTTCTGGGCTTTAAAAAATAATGCTTTTATTATGGTCTGCATGTTTTGAGCACTCTGTTATTAATGTACTATTATAATATTCCTGATTTGAAAGAATTCTCCTTGAGGTGTCTTTGAAACAAATCTGCAGAAGTATCACCACTGTGTCTGTATTTATCTCACCCATAAGAAGTACTTCCTTGAGCCTCGTAATGGAGCTGTACCTACCTGAGTAGGACCACTGCACCTTAAAGGAGCATTCCTCTCTGTATGGGAAGCTGTGGTACAGGAGGCAGCATGATGCTTTACCTATTGTCTCTACCTGCTTTCCAAAGCCGGGCTGTAAAGTGCTGACACTCTCTTGGGTGAGGTCTCAATAGATTATCAGAGAATGGTAAGGTGAGATGACTGGAGTTGATGTAAAATGAGTCTTTGACCTTGTCCAGTTCTTTTCATCTTGCACAGTCTATATTTCATTTGTTTTTTCTCTCTCACACACACACATACACATACTTACTTTTGATATTCATCCAGCTCCCAATACAGTGAATTACTTCAGCAGCAGTTGACCTGAAGTCTATAAATAATGCAAAGCAGTGAGGATACAGTGGGATTAATTGAGTCTGATGACTGCTATAAAAGTTTTTTGATTCCTGAATATACTCCTTGTTTTTGTCTAATCCTGTAAAGGCCCAGAAATGAGGTCCCTAGATATCAGCCTTATTATATGTTAAAATTTCCTTTATTAACCAGAAAGATGTGGTGAAATATTCAATTACAGTCACTGGCAAAACAAAAAATAATGTGAAATCATGTGCTCCTTTCAGTTCCAACTCTAAATGAGGAACACTTTTCCACAGCTGTACAGTCTCCATCTCCCTCCTGGGACAGCTGCAAATCCAGAAGGAAAACTTGTGTCAAAGAGAGACTGAGATGGTTGAAGCTCTAGTTTGACCTACATGATTTTCCTGTGAAAAAGTATATTTGCTTTCACATTTTTATTTAAAATCCAAGGCATAAACACACAGAAAATGTAAAATATCATGGTGATATTTCTATCAGAGAGCTCATTTTGAGACCTCACTGGAAGAAATAAGAATCAGATACTCTTATTTTACCCACAAGTCTTTCTGAAGGAGGAATAACCAGCGCCGGATAAAGTAGTCTGTTGAATTTGAGACAAGGGGGAGCACAGAGATACATTTGAGAGTTGACACAAAAATTTGCTTTCAACAGTGCTGCCAGTGTTATTGCCTATGTGCCTTGTCAAATGAGGTTTGTAAGGAGTATTGCATTGGAGGTGAGTACATCTCTTTAGAGCACCTGCTTACTGGAAAGTATGATTGCTCAGAGGGAAGGCCTAAGGAGTAGGACAAGGATCTAGGCCTCTCTTAATATGAAATATTACTGTGTCCTTTAATTTCTGGCTTAGGGCATGGGGTTGTTTTTTTTAACTTTTACAAAAAGCACCCCTCGATATTCATCAATACAATCTATCTGAAGGTAAAAAGCAGTGTTGTGATTTTCATGATCAATTGCACAACTGAGTATCTCTGGAGCTTATAAACTCACAAAGGCTGCATTTGGTGGTGGCAAATTTAGGCAATAGCTCTTCAGGACCTTGCACTCCCACTGTATGCATTTCAGCTCTAGTCTTGCCCCAGAAACTGAAGAGCCATTAATTGTTGAAGTGAACATAATGCCCTTCTGGAACACATCTTCCAGTTTTCTTTGTGTAAAAGGGAGTCAGTCTGCATATTTGCAGTATGACCAAAGCACAGTGAAGGGATTGGGGAGTTTCATTTCCAAAGCCCACTCCTGATTCAGACTAACACATAAAACACCTCTGCAAAATAAAAGGATGAATGAAGGTTCTCTCCCAGCAAAATGCAGTGGGCACTCAAAAGAAAATGTACATATTAGAGCTTGCAAGAGATCTGGTGGGGAATGGATGAGCCTAGAAGAGAATTTCTTGGCAGGTCATTGGTCGACTCATGGACTCACGTAACAGGAAGCAGTGACTTCTCCCTCCTGGTCACCCTGGGCTTCAATGGGAACAGCTTACCAGAACAGGACTCTAAAATCCAGCTGATTGCAAAAGCCTATATTAAAAAATGCCAGAAAATGCCACCTCCCCCCTGAGGTGCACTCAACATGTACCCTATTGTTATTGTGTAAGATGCCCCCTCCTGAAAGATATAAGGTGGGTGTTATATGTCTGTCTTTCAAAGCACCGGTACTATTGACATCTACCTGAAATACACAGTGGCTGACAGGAAGTTCAGTTTTTATCACCATTGCTTATAAGAACTGGACAAAATAGTAATCCAGTATTCTTAAAAAGCAGGAGAAATATTCATGTGGTTAGTTGGGAAGAGTTGGGATTGTAAAACTTGTTTAAAAATAATTCATAAAGTAAAGCTTTCTGTACTGCCTGATTTTAATCACTGTGAATTTCTTTCACAGGTATTCCTTGGAGCATTGTCTTTTGTTTATTTTGCTAAAGCACTGTCAGGAAGTTACCTAAAAAGTACTATAACGCAAATAGAAAGAAGATTTGATATCCCTTCTTCTTTGGTTGGCATTATTGATGGCAGTTTTGAAATTGGTATGAGCTGTACAACATATTTTTATTTTCAGAAAAAAAGAAATGGGAAATTTGCTATGAAAAATAATTGTATGAATCTCCTTGAACCATTAAAACTGAGCAAGATTCACCTAGTAAAGATCAGCATGACTGCCAATATGATTATTTTGGGTAGGATAGGGTTGCTTATACAAGCAATAGTTCAACATACTTATAAATATTTTATACTGTGATAAGCTAATGTCTGGAAAATAACACTAGTAGAAATTTGGGCTGTTGAATAAGAATTCAGCTGCACAGATTCCCACTTTCTCTCACATTTTGTCAGAAATCCACCTCACCCACAAGTGTTTGCCCTTCATGATTTGTTAAGGAGGAAGGGTACAAACCACCAACTATAATCTGTTATTGTCCAGTCCATCCCTTTCCTTCTTGCACTAATGTTTCCAGGATGACACTGTTTCTTACAATTTCAGTTTACTGAATTTTTCTCATGGGTGCACAGTGGACTGTGGTATTCACAGGAATTAAACGTTAGCCTAAATGTATAAAGTTCTGTTCAAGTCCCTCTTTTCCTGTTTTCCTGGATATCTATTCTTTTCAGCTGGCATAGTCCTCCTCATTTTTAGCTGATTATCCAAAAGTTTATGGTTGTTTTATCATGGAAGGCATTGGACTCTTGTAAGAAATGCTGGAAAGAGGGAGAAACACCAATCTCATGCAATCAGTCCTCTCCCCTGAGATCACTGCCTATACCATTCACTAGAAATTGTTATTTTAGGGAATCTCCTACCAACAAGCTGTAAAACTCAGTTTTCCTTTTGTACTCTCAAAGGGAACCTCCTAATCATAATTCTTGTAAGCTACTTTGGAGCGAAGCTTCACAGGCCAAGAATAATTGGAGCAGGCTGCCTAATTATGTCAGCTGGAACATTCCTAATTGCGATGCCCCAGTTCTTCATGGGACGGTAAGTGCAGTGATTGGTATTTTCTGGCTGGGCTATGCACATTGCATGTTAACTCACTAAAATATTTACTCATTGACTATAAAGATGTCCATAGAAATAGGCATATGTAGATGTGGTTATGAAACATTTTTTTGTGAAAAGACTGATTACTGTTCAGCAAATAATTTAACATATGTGCTCAGCTGTAATTGCATTATCATTTTATTAGTCTCTGATCTTGACTGGCCACACTTTGACACAGTTTAAGAATTGTTGAGACTTCAGTGATGAAGTGATGACTAAACTCAGGAAGACAATCTGAGTTTCAAACACAAGTGAGACGATACAGCCACTGTCTGGTAATCTCAGTACAGATTCATGCATCATAGTAGACCAAAGTGCCTGTTTAACTGAAATGCATCACTGTGACACGAAGAGAACCAAAGGAACAATTTTCGTGTACTAACACAATATAAACTGAGTTCCATTTATTGACTGTAAACTATCATTGTCAACACTGGATGCAGATGAAATTTTTATTTAAGTGCCTATCTTCCATGGTCATAACACATCTGTTTGCTTTTTCTCATAAATTGGGACATTAAAAAACAACTTTGATTTATAAACAGATATGAGTATGAAAGATTCCCTTCCACCGTCAATTCTACTGTTGGCATCTCTCCATGTCTGCAGGATAAAAGCCAAACTCTGCTCCCTGCCTTGGAAAAACCTCAAGCAAAAATAAATGCAGGTGAGAATGATCTGTGTCAAATATCGTGATAAGCATACTAGAATGTATCAAAAGGCTCATAAACTCTCATGCAATAGTTTATTTGAACACAATAAAAGTAAAAGGTATAAGATGAATCTTTTCCACAGAAAATCCAGATCTACTGGTTGAGGCAAATTATTTAAAAAAAAAAATATAACTGCCACTGACCACTGCCAAGAGTTGGGTTTTTTTTCCTCAGGCTGCAGCCTTTCCTCCAGCCTTGCTGTCTCCTCCAGCAATTTTCTGCAGCTTTGTGGCTTGCAGAAACACCAGTCTCCCATGGTGACCTTGGAAAGTCATGGTTTTCCCTCTGCCAGGAAATATGCCTTTAGATCCTCAGCCTGCTGGAAAGAGCTGCTTGGGTCTCACAACCTGCAAATCCCACTTCTTGTTTCTCTCCCTACCCATGACCCCTTTTTGCACACCACAGAATTCTCTACCTTCTGGGTGCTTTGAGCTCCACATGGGCAAGGAGCCTATCATCTTCAGTGTTTCCCAGATATTTCTGTTAGGAGACCCCAGTTCTGGTTAGAAAGAAATGAAAAATATTTCTAAAGTGGGATGTGATGATAAATTTCTAAAACTAGCCAACTTCTAGTATCTTTGAATGAAGCAGTTCATGCTAAAAGTGTGTCTTCCTCAAGCTGATTGGGTTAAAGTTCCCATCCATGCACCTCACAAAACATTTTTCACAGTTTTCATACTGGTTTTCCCACATCAGAAGTATCTTAGAAGTCCTGTGCATTCAGTGTTACACTGTTAAGAAAAACACGTCATGTCTCTCTTGTGATGTACCCAGGATGTGAAAAAGAAGGAGGTTCTTCCATGTGGATCTATGTTTTATTGGGAAATCTTTTGCGTGGAGTAGGTGAAACTCCTATCCAGCCTTTGGGAATTGCATACATTGATGACTACACCATTGAAGAAAATGCTGCCTTATACATTGGTAAAATAATTTTTTTTTTCCTAATGGATTTTTCACCAGAGGAACCTGAGTCATTCTGAATAATGGAATGAGTGTTACTGAGTTAACTTGCCGTGATTGTTTGGTTTACATAATTTCCAATATTAAAGTTTATTTAACAGTCTCGTACACTCAAAGGACCAAATTCCCCTTTAATTGTACCAGCACAGTTCAATTATCTTAATTTGAGGAAAGAACTTGACCTTAGGCTCCTGCTGTTACCCTAATCTTCCTAATTCTTCTAAAGGTGGACTGCTGAGCCTCTGTGCACATTCAGTTCTCTGGAAAGTGATAAAAAACATGTACTGTTAAGCCCTTAAAAAAGCATTTTGGCAGGCACTCAAAACATTCCCTCCAGCTTCAGGTAGGATTATAAACAATAAGGCTTTAAATACTGGGGCTTTAAGAAGTTGGTATCGCTGTTTTTTTGTTGTGTTCATTGTCTGAAGTCCTCTGCACATTTGCGTGAAATATTTCCAAGAACTTCCCCATCAACATTTTTCTTGACAAGTTTGCAGCCTGGCAAAAGGCAAAAACTCAGATCCTCTTTGTAAAAGATTCAATCTTCCCAGATCTCCAGATCAATTTTGAAAGTTCAAAATAGTCAGAAGGTTTGGCTGAAGGTGTACTGAAACACATTAATATTGGGTACCAAAGCAAAGAGGTTTTATTCAGACTGTTCAGGGCCCACCATCACTTAAAGTGATCAGTAACTTAAAAAACTGTCATTTTCTTTCTGGTTACTTTAATCTAGTCCGCTAAATTGTTTCTAGCAATTCTGATTGGTGATGCTAATGAGTTAGGCCATTAAGTTTCCTGACTTATTTTTTTCTTTGGGCTGAATTTCATTCTTTAATTGGATGACAACAAAAAAAGTTGAAGTGTCAGTGTAGTGGGGGAAATCTTATTGTTGGCCTTTTCTCCTTGAAAAACTGATATAACTAATGTGTCAGAGAGCAAATGGTTGGCTCAGTATTTTTAGACTATCACTTGTTAGACATGACACGTCATACATTACTGTTAGGTGCAGCAAGACCTAGTGCTTTTTTTCAACCCAGGTGTGTAACAGTCCCCTGTTTTCTATTGCAGGCTGCGTACAGACAGTTGCAATTATAGGGCCAATATTTGGCTTTCTTCTAGGATCCCTGTGTGCCAAACTTTATGTTGACATTGGCTTTGTAGATCTGGGTAAGTCATAAAACTCTGGTTTTAAAAATTCAGTCAGGCTCCAAAATGCCTGTTTTAGGCCAAGAACTATCGAATTATCTTCCAGGTTTAGGGGACTAGCAGAGATGGAGCAGGCACTTAATGAAATAGAAAAGGATAACAGCAATGCAATGCCCCAGGCAGAAGAGGCTAGCAAGAAAAATGGGTGTGGAGGAAGTAGGAGGCCTGATGCTTCCTCAGTCCCAGCAGATCTGTGGCTGGTGCCCCCCAGGAGATGCCCTGGTGAGGAGTCTCTGGGGGACAGCAGGAACCATAGAATCATAGAGTCAGCTGGGTTGGAAAAGACCTTTAAGATCATCAAGTGCAACCGTTACCCCAGGACTGCCAAGTCCACCACTAAACCATGTCACCAGGAGGCCAGACTGAGGTTCAGGATCCTGCTGAGAGCTCTGTGTGCATTTTGTAATACTGTCATTGCCTAGAAAAGCAGTCTTGCAACGGGTACCAGGACCCCTGGTTGCCCTCGTCATGAGAAAACTTCCACCCTATTTTTCTCTGGCACTTCCGTGCAGCTTGTCTGGGAGCAAGTGTGTGGCCACCTGGACTACTTCATGTAGACCCTTGCACATTCTCTGGGGACACGTGAGTGTTACAGCTGGGGACCTTATTGTGTCAGAGGAAAGCTACTACTGTGTCACAGGAATCAGCAAGTCCTTATTGCCTTCCCACAGTTGCTCCTGTAACACTGATAGACTCATAGCACAGCTAAACCTGGCAAGGTGGGGGTGGACTCCTCTGGAGTAAGTCCCTTCAAAATCACTTCCCTTGGTATCAGCAAACAATCTCCAAAAACATTTATATGTTTTTCCCTTTTTGTCTTTCTCTAGACAGTGTAACAATAACTCACAAGGATGTGCAGTGGGTGGGAGCCTGGTGGCTGGGCTACTTAATAGCAGGTATGATTAGTGTTCTAGCTGGCATCCCTTTCTGGTTCCTACCCAAGCACCTCCCGAAACCAGGGGGCAGGAAGGACTCCAGTACCTCTTCTGAGCAGTCAGAGTTCATCACTGAGGACAACAAGGACCATCGAAAATCTTACCAGCAACAAGTGAAGATTGCTGAGATGGCAGAAGGCAAGTAACTAGAGTTTATTTTGTGACTGTTGAGTCTTTCCCTCACTAGATTTGTACTTTAAAACCTTATAATTTCTGAGGCCATATTTTAATGACCTCAGAAATACTATTTTCCTTCAGGTGTCGCTCTCCATCTAACTAGTATGCACAAAACTGGTCTTTTCATTGCTCACTGTGGGACCTGCTCTTGCATACAGAATTTCTCCAGATGAGATCTGTAAAATTACGTTAGTGGTGCAGCAAATACCATGAAACTCTGAAAAACTTTTCATTCACAGATGCTGATGGTTGCAGAAGGGGGACTCAAAAAAATCTCAGGTTTTGCTAAACCTTTTTCTTTAAGATCATTCATTAGAAAAACACATATAGAATATCTGATCAGAATAAAGATGGTCACAGACTAGATAGTGTATTTAGGAAGCTATCTGAATTTAGATACAAGCTGTTTTGCATAATTGCATTTCTTTGGCCCTGCTTTACCAAAAGTATTTTCCCTCAGTGCTTGAATCTGTAGCTCAGTAAATATGTGCTTAGTGTCAGCTGTGCTGAGAACTCTCTGCCCCAAGATTATGCTAAAAAATGTTGAGGACACATAGAAAACAAAACAGTCCTGGTTTACCATAGAATTATAGATTACCAGGTTGGAAAGGACCTCAAAGTTCATTGGATTAAACCAGATCAAAAGAAGATACATGGAACAAGGTATGTGTTCCAGGACGTTGATGCTTAGTATTTTGCTCCGCTGTTCCCCCATCCAGAAATGCAGGAGCTCTTAGGAGCATCATGGAATTTCATGGATTTCCTCTGAAATGTTCTGCAGTCCTTCTTTGAAAGGTGCAAACACGATGCAAAGCAATATTCACAGCAGTTGCTCTTTCTCCGGCCTAGTTGTAATTTCTGCTGTTTTATTTTGCAGACTTCTTGTCATCACTGAAGAATCTCTTTGGGAATCCAGTTTACATTCTGTATTTGTGTGCAAGCATCATTCAGTTCAATTCTTTAATTGGCATGGTGACATATAAGCCAAAGTATATTGAACAGCAGTATGCACAAACATCTTCAAAAACTAATTTTGTTATAGGTAATGCTATATCTGCATCTTGGTGTCTTAAAAATGGACATTTTAGCAATGGCATATATATATATGTAAGAAACTTTGAGGTTTTTTTAGGATATGTTTATTTCTTCTCCTTCCTTGTCTGGCTTTGAGCAATAGCTCATAGAAAGCGAGTTATTTCATTTCTTCTTTAGCACTAGTTAGCTCTGAGTTTATCTATGCAAGATTATATGATTTGATGTCTTATTTCTTATCTTACTGGAAATTTGAAAAACAATGTATGTACAGCACAAAATAATAATTGAAAAGATAATTAGTTTTAAATATCAGCTCAGTAGTAAAGGATGGATCATAAAGTAGCTGTGGTATTGCCAGTGGTTTCTTACTTTCTGAGGAGGTTGGTATTAAATAAAATGAAGTAAAATTCTTATCAGTGATCACACAATGCATGCATTAAAACCCAAACATTATCTCAGTGAGATTCTGGTGAAGGAAAAATAAGTATTTCTGCCCTAACTTTACCTAAGAGCCTTTCTCTGTTGTGAAGTTTGCCTCTCAAGCTCTCCCATAGAGACTGCTTCTTCCTTTTGGTACCAGTGTGGCCACTTTTGTAGCTGTCTTCAAGATGGTGAACTTGACTGCTTAGCTGCTTAACCTGCATGCAGACTCGGGCTCAGTTCCTGAGGTCCAGGGATTCAATAGCATTAGACAGCAAAGAGGTTTACATCTGTCCAATACAGAGGGAATTGCCTTGATTGAGAGCAGAATTAGTTGCACAGCAACTAGTATACATATGCAGAAAAGCTGTATGGATCCTTAGTGCTATGTTAATTCCTTAAAGACAAAAGCTGGAATTTCCTGGCACAAAACTCCTCAAAACAAGGAGAAATCTTCAAGCATAGTCAATGGCCAAAGAAAATCCAGAAAACAATTCCTACATTCAGTATAGTGCTTCTCATTGTATTTAAAGATTTTCTGGAGCTAAACTTTCAGGTATGTGCAAATTGAGTGAGGGTTAAGGTCCATCTGATTTCAGAAAGAATAAAGACTATATCCAATAGAGGATGTGAGATGGCTTGGCTAGGGAAGGATCCTGGCTGAATCGTTTTCTTTCTTCCCAAATCCACCCTTCCTAAGAAAGCTGGGGCTGACTAGAACTAACAATGTGTTTTTCCCATTCCCTACCTCTTTTCCTTTTTTTTTTTTTTAAACAATTTCTAGCACAATCTTGCTGATAAAGAGCAGAATTGTCAGAGAAATTTGAAGCACTATTAAAAAAGTCAGTGGAGGTCATAAGAGGGTATTTTTCAACAGTCACAACTCAAGGAATGTGCAAGAAAGTAAAATGGCTCCTGTGCCTGTACGATTTTCCCTAAGTATACACACTTCCCCTTACCTCCCAACCCTTACGCCAGTGTCAAGCAATGGAGTTACCTGTAAGGCTGTGAAACAAAGGCATGAAAAAAAGCGATACAAAAAATCATAGAACAGTTTGAGTTGGAAGGGACATTCAAAGGTCATGTAGTCCAAACCCCTGCAATGAGCAGGACAGTATAGGAATGGGCAGGCAGAGTGTGGGTACTCTCCAGTGCATCTCACAGCTTCCAGTTCCAATCCCACTCCTGTTTTACAAGCAGAAAGGAAACTTGTTACATGGTGACTCTTAATTTACATATGCTACACTTCAGATGCTGCTTCTAAATCCCCTGAAGTACAATTTTCATGTATGTGTACAGTGAAAAGTACCTCCCTAGTGAAGCTCCCTGAAACTCATCAGTAACAGAACTGGTCTCATGCAGTTAGCCAAGATACTGACTCCTGGGTTTGCCAAATGCAATTAGGTTTTTTCTAACATCAAACATACTTGCTAACATCTCTTCTAACAGCTATTTTTCAATATGTGTACAGGTGGATCAAAACAGATCGCAGTGCACTTCTAGTAGACAGATTAGACTCTAATGTCATAGGCTGGTGTTTTATACCAAGTCATTTGAAAGCATGTTGTAATACCTCCAGTCCCCTGAACAAACTTCTGAAACTTCATCTGCTGTTGCAACTGTGCTTTGGTACTCAGCACCACTAGGTGTCAGCATGAATTAAAAACTGCAGACTGCATACACAGCCCTATACAAGGGGAAATTTGATGTGCTAGAAGCAGCTGGCAAAGCTGGGAAGATCATTTTCAGTTCAAGGAAATCCAGAAAATGTCATCTTGCTTGTCCGAGCAGTATCATTTACAGGGGTCTCTGTTAACATCTTTTTTGCAAGTAGTGAGTGAGATTTTTCTCATTCTATTGTCCATGTCTATCAATATGGACACTGCTTTAAGCAAAGCTGTTCAGGTAAAGAAGGGTTAATGATCATCCAGTCTTACATGTTTCCTTCAATATTTTTACACTTGATTGCCTGAACCCTGGTACAAGAGTATCCATGTGCGTATATCTACCTTTCTGCTGTTGCAACATTCACCTAAGGGAGCATTTCAACAACCAAAATCACAGAAATTCTCTAACTCTCCTAGGCATGGAGGCAATGACATATCATTCCCTCTTCTTCCTCTTAATGACTTCTCTAGGGGATTAGGGGTTTCATGTCTGAATCAAACCAGAAAAAGCAGGTCTTGCTCCAGGTTTGATAACACTGTAGGTAAAACTGAATTTGCCCTCAGCAATGAAGAGTTCAGGCTCCTCATGTCAGCAGAAAAGGAAGAGAGCTGCCATGGAAAAATGCAGTGGGGCAGCCCCAGAGCGTGGCCCCAGTTGCTCATACTGTTGTCGTATGAGTGAAGGACATTGGTAAGGTCTATAGCAAAGTCTCAAACTGTTCAGTGGGACTGTGGCAGTCTTGGCTGCCCTAAGCAGCACCATACCCAGTAACTTCTCTGTGCCCAGGGCATAACTTGTAAGAAATAACACCAAAAGTATCTGAATTAACACTACATTGTTCCCTCCCTTGACAAGCTAACAGTGGAGAAAACTACCTAGTTTAAGAAATTGGACGATCATTATCTAAATCTTATACACAATCTCTCTTTAAAAGAACTAGAAAAGAAACATTTCTCTGGGAGCAAGTTTTGACAAGCAGTTCCAATACCTTCTTATGAACAATCCAAGTCTGGACACATAAAATGTCCCATCTTTCATATTTTGTTGTTTAATCTTACTGCTGCTGCTGCTGTTTTTGTGGCTGAGGATGATAGTCCACTGAGCCGTGGTTTTCATTAATGCAGATTTTACTGTTTGATTTCAGGTCTCATCAACATTCCTGCTGTGGCTTTTGGCATATTCTCTGGAGGACTGCTCATGAAAAAATTCAGAATCAATGTTTTAGGGGCTGCAAAACTCTCCCTGGGATCATCTTTCTTTGGTTACATTTTGCTCCTGTCATTATTTGCAATGGGATGCGAGAACTCGGATGTGGCTGGACTGACTGTGTCATACCACGGGTATGCTGAGAAAGACAGGCTTCCCCATAAAGTGTTATTGCAAACCCAACCCCTTCTTCATTTTATTCCACAAAGTATATATTGTTGAAAAGGGAATGCTCCATCTATTCCAGTGGGCATTGTGTCAGAACTCTTTCGTGATTGTTGCCTTTAGCCCTGAGGGGTTTATGCCACAAGCGCAGATTATTTTTCTGGTTACTTTTTAATTGTTATTACCATGGGACCATCCTTTTAGCCTAAAGATTTCTGGAAATGTGAAGAACTCAGTAGGATGAAATTGAATCTCAGAGTGAGATACAATTAACTGTTGCTTGCTTCTGTGCTGCTGAACAACCTGTGGCATTTAATAGCCTTCGAACCCAAAACTTAAGGATTCATTGATTACCATGAATTAACCATGATGTTAACTGTAAGGCATACCTGAGGCTAATACTTTCTGGTCACTTTTACCTGTGGTATTCCTCAGTAAAGCTCACTTCTGGAGAGGAGTTTCCAGCACTGACTCCACAGCAGCTCCAGGAGCTGCTCCACTTGTGATTTCAGCAGCAGCTGGCTGAAGTTGATAGGTAGCTGTTAGGCAATGTATCAGATCTTCAGTTTGGATTAATCCAATTCTGATAATTCCCTAAATAGCTTCTATAGTGACTGCTTCCCTGAGTAACTCACTCCACTCTTTGCCACTGGAATAAGCAAACCTTTTTGTCCAGTTTTGTTAAAACTGCATCAAGCCTCTGATAACTAAAATCTTAGAAAATCTGTGAAAATGCATGAATAAAAATTGTTAGCTGTCCCCCTTAATAAGGTAGCTACTATGTCACAGTAGGTGTGATATTGTGAAAGCCTTTTTATAACAAAGAAATAAGAATTTACATTACTGGATGGATGTGAAGAGACAACACCTTAATGGACTGCAGACAGAAGGTCTGCCCAGGTGTGCCTGGTAGAGAGCATAACTCATGATTTGATAGTGATTTCTTCCATATCTGCTAGAAACATCTTTGCGATTTCTCTTTTTCCCCAGAGATAAACAAATGACTGATTATGAGCAAGCCCTGTACTCAGAGTGTAACTCGGGCTGCGCATGTTCCAAGAACGACTGGGATCCCATCTGTGGGGAAAATGGAGTTACCTACATTTCTGCTTGTCTTGCTGGCTGCCAGGCATCCAATGGCAGTGGGAAACATATGGTAAGACAAACTCTCTTTCCATATGTGATGTGGTAGTTTTCCTAATACAACCAGTTTTATCATAGTGGATTGAGTAGGGCATGTCCTTTCCAGCCTTAAATTCCTCAGGTTTTTTCAGCAATCTGCCACCCACATTTAAAAATTTCTTAACTGGTGTTCCCAGAGAAAATCCCAAGAAGATAATTTAGGAGGTTTGGTTTGGTTTGTTTTTTAGCTGTTAGCTACCTAAGCTATTTTAAATACCCACTAAATATATTCGTGAACAGTTGATACTTTCTTTATAAATGTCTCCTTCAATGAACAAGTCTTTTCCTTTTAAAAAACTTTTTCCAGTTTGGATTTAAACTTTTGTCTACCCAGAAAAGCATGACGTGTAATTCCTGAACATCCACTTCTCTGCTGTTTGGGTTACCATAGATATTTGCCTGCTGTCTTCCAGGTATTCTTTAACTGCAGCTGTGTGGGAACCTTGGAATCACCTTCACAAAGTTCCTCAGCTGTGGTGGGACCATGTCAAAAAGGAAATGAGTGTCCAAAAATGTTTCTGTATTTTCTAGTAATATCAGTTATCACTTCATATACTTTGTCAGTAGGTGGCACACCTGGATACATACTGCTTCTAAGGTAAGACCTCACTTCTGCCAGCATTGCCAAAAGTTTTCAAGGTGTTTTTACACGTGTGACTTGGTCTCCCTCCTCCCCTAGTGCTGTGAAATATTTTGAGCTACACAAGGTGGCTTTTAAAATATTCTTTTACTATTGAAAAGCATCCTCATACTTTGACAATGACTTTTCTACCATTGAAGCAACAATGTGCTTATGATTACCTCTACCAGCAATGCCTTTCTGGCTTTAAAGATGATATTGGAGGCCTGGTTATCATTTATAGCAAATTCCACTTCTCTTGACGCCTTTTACATTACCAGAATGGTGTTAAGCAGCCTCCATGGAAATGGAAATTAACTCTGCCAGCCTGTGCACATATATGCTTACAAGCAGCCAGTTTTTCTCATTTGCTGTGAATACCAGTGCACAGTTATAGAAAAGTGATCTAACCCAAGCCTTCTATATACACTGCTCTTCTCCTCTGGCGCATTTTATTATTCCATATAATTGTTCTGTCCCAGATGTCTCTCTTCAAAACAAAGATAGATGTAGTATGAGATTTTTTTTCTTTTCTTGGTAATAATCACAGGTTTATTAAATGCTTGTCCCAAGGAATTTTTCCAATATGTATTTAACTGCTGGAACTATTTGTCCATCACCAAGTGGAAGCTTTGAAACTAATTTTAGAAAGTGCAAAAGGAATTTAATACTTCCAGTGATTAATCTGGATTTCTGTCAGCTTCTTGCAATTTTTGGATTCTAAGTGCTGCTCTGCTTTGTTTTGGAAAGCTTCCTTTCTCAGTTCCTCTTTCCAAATTATTTCCAGATGGGTACATTCTACTTCTCAAGCAAAACAATAGTTAATACTATTATTATTGAGTTTTCTTACCCCAAAATTCTCTTCATTTTCAAATGAAGTTTTATGAAACGGGCCCCATGTCATTGCCAGTGTCTTTACATCGCATGGAAAAAGCCAGTGATAGAACTAGCTGAATATAGGCTACATGGAAAAACCTAAATGAAGAAATGTAACTTCAGCTATGTTTCCAGCACAGTACTTGAATCAGAATAGCTGCCACAGAAAGAGTTTCAGAAATGGTTGAAGTGAGGATCATTTTCCACTGCCCTCCACAAACACTTCCAGTGAGGTATATGCCTCAAAATATATAAGCTGCATAGCTTTCTGCACCCACCTTGCAGGGTTATCATTGAGTACTGAAAAAACAGACGACATCTCTCTCTCTCCTGAATACAATACAAACAATCATGTTATAATCCATTTTAGACAATTTTTACTAAATCTTATGCACCTCTGAAACTGTCCATACACCAATAGGAGGGTGATTCAAAAGCTGAAAACTTGTAGCAGAGCCTTCAGGATTTCCGCAGGTTGCCCTCTGTGATCCTTCTGACACAAGGGGGATTTTTTGTTGTATAAATATGACCATAGGGCTATGCAGGGATGAAGTTTCGTTCCCTTTCACCCTCCACATGATGTCCCCTTTCTATCCATAAAACATTGTAGAAAATGTACTGACATAATACTACACAGGGCCTTGAAGCCATCATCGCCATGCTTCTGCTTTCCATTTTGTCTCCACTTCAAAAGTGTCTGAGAGGAGACATTCATAGTTGAACACCTATGAGCTTAAATCACTTAGTTACCTGCACTTATCAACCCTAAGAACTTGCTCTCAAGGGACTTAATTCTTAATGGATTTATTTAGAAAAGCTTAGAGAGGTTTTCAATAACGATACAAGAACATTTTGTTACATGAAATCAGCAAAACAGCTTTATTGTTTCTACTCCAGAGCTTTTATTTCTGTTTAAAATCATGCTGCTTTGAGAGCAGTTTAACTGAAACTGAGAAGTTATATGTTTTTCTGCTGGATTGAAGGCACCCAAATCTGATGTGCAGCTGAATAAAGCATGTTTCAGTAAGTTCAGATGAAAAACCTATGGGCACAATTCCACCTTAAGCTCACACTTGCTTTTCTGAAATCCATCCCTAACTGACTTTCCCTGAAAACCCACTTGAACTGAAAATGCGCTTCTGTTCCCAGAAAGAAAAAAAAAAAAGCTCTTTGAAAGCAAACAGGCCCAAGGTCAAGTTGCAGACTTCATTAAGTATTTTTTTCAATGATCTATTTTTTAAATTAGTCAGTATTTAGTCAGCTCAATAAGATTCCAGCACTTAAACAAGCTTATGTTTTCAGATGAGCAGATATCATTGCGCCTCCCATGAAGCATAAATACATCTAAATCCCTAAAAGCCTATAAGATTTAGTGACATTTACTTCAAGGGTATACATGACTGAATTAACTGAAATACGCTTGTAGCTAGTGAGCAAGTCATTTACTGAAACATCTTTTTAGTGCCATTAGACTAATTAAAATTGCCAAGAAGCTTAGGAAAGCTGTTATATTTTGGAGAAAAACCCTGCAATTCAGATAGCCGTTGTTCAAGTACACGCTATTAATAGCAGGTGGTTAGGCAGTGAAAAGGAAGTCTCAGATCTCCGTGAGACGTTTGGCTTTCTCTCAGGATCTCAAAGAACATGTGTTTCAGTGCAAAGACAATAAAAATGGTCAAATTCTTCTTTCCATATGAAAGAGAAGCTTTAATTATTTCTAGGATATGAGTCCTATGGAACATGCAAGAAATCTCAAAATATCCAAACTCCAATAAATATTGGTTTTATTTTCCAGTTTTTGCTCTCTATGCACTCACATTTGTTTAAAAGGACTTATAGGCTGAGGCTTGCTTGTGTGGCATATTACATTCATGCCTGCAAAGGTGGCAGTGCCCATATAAACCATGATAGAATGGACTATAGGATGATAATCCATCATCATGGCAATAGAGAATAAAGTAGTCCAATTACAAAATACAATGCACACAACAACTTTTGGATCATACTACTTTGATGTTCTTTTCCATATTTTCCTTCATGTCCTTTTCCTATTTTCACTAAATTAAGTAAAGATGACCCAAATAGCATTTACAATACGGGTTCTTAATGCTGTTCTGGCAACTAAATTGGGAAATAATATAACATCACTGTTGGGGAAAAAATAGAGCTAGTTCTGCAATGTCTTGATTATTTTTTAAAAGGTATTCTTAATTACATGAATTTCTGCAGAAGCTGAGTCCATCCTAGTTCAAAGAATGTGTACTGGACCTCCAATTGTTATGTTTCTGCATAACTAACACTGAATTTCAGCCATTTTTTTATTTTATTTTATATTGATAGAATGAATGTGACGACAGGTGATCATCTATTATCATAACGATATACCTGTGTTACTCACCCCACGTATCAAGCATGTCTGAGTTTAACTGTGACTAGAACTACTCACATGCTAAAAGTAAAGCATGTACTCAGGTTCTTGTTGGGTTAGTTATTGTAATAGGCAGTCTGATACATGATGAGTGAAACAGCATGCTTGAGCAGCTGGTGAGGTTAGTAGCAGATGAATCATGCTGATTTGAGTAGCTCCTTAAACACATTGCTGCTAGCACATGTATGAGAGGCAGCTGTGCTCCTGCCTCCTACCTCTACCCTCCTAGAAGAGCCAGGACAATGACTAAGGCTGGAGCAGGGCTGTTCTGGAGCCAGGACTGATGTCTGTGCTGTATGCCTGCTCCAAGCTCAGAAAAGTCCAAATGCAAATGTTCTGTCAGACAATACCTTGGAGGATTTACCTTTACAGGAGATGAGATCATGATCCTAGATATAGTGCAATGAACTGAGTGCCTAAATACCTTGTCATAGGCTGGGTCATAAGCCCCAATTTCAGAGTGTTTAACTGAATAAGACTATTCAATGACGCACAATTTCACAAACAATTTTCTTGTCCTGCATTAGTAACTTTTAAGTGCAAGAATTACCTGAAAATGCACCACATTCTGAAAAGATGATACTGAATAGTGATGTTCAGAATTCGTAGATACTGTTCTGATTTTATCACATTATTTACACACTTGTAATTCTGTTAAGTCAGTGTCAATAAGGAGGAAAAAGTGACATTTCTTTCCTTCCTCTTGCTCTCTATTTGTGTCCAAATTATAAACAGTCAATTCTTTATTTCTCTTTAATACTTTTTTTTCTTTTTTTTTAGATGTATTAAACCACACTTGAAATCATTTGCACTTGGCATCTATACCCTGGCAATAAGAGTGCTTGGTAAGTCCAGTTGTACTCTTGGATATACCTTAATATACTCCTCACTAATTTTTTACCCTAGAATTAAATTTTCATTGTTGGAAGGAATGATGTCTCACAAGTTAATATTACATAATTAAGAAAAAAAATAGGAAAAAGAAGAAGCTTTATATTTCATCAATCATATAGCTGTGTCTTAGGTATAACAAAAATACACATGGACAATGTTTGTAAAGGTGACAAGTGATCCTTTGGATTATGAAGCTAAGATCAAAATTACTTCTTGTCTCTCCTTATTCAACAACAAGCATAACAGAACAGCTATGACTCAGAATCGGTGATAATTTTTCAGGCCTTTTCTCATTAGTTTCTAAGGGAATTAATCTAAGTACAGGCATGTCTGAAGGCAGGGTTCACTACAGCCGTGTGGCAGAGCCACCTATAAGTTTTTTACTAAAATCAAGGGTACCGTGATATGCCAGTGGACTGAAACTCTAAGATTGTCAAGGTAATTATAGAAGAGGCAGTAACTAGCTAGAAACAAGTCACTTATTTAAATAGAGAAGATGTGGATGACCTGGATGAGGCACATGAGAAAACATCAAAACAAGTTGTTGGCTTCTTTCTCACACCTTTGCAGGCCAGGATTTTCTCTCCAGGCTTACTTCTTTTCTCCCGCAACCATGGGTGACTCCCCAGGTTGAACAGAGTCCACAGTGTCTCCATTAGCACCTGATATAGGGTTTTTCCTTTCCGTCACCCTTAAGCAGTAAGTTTGCCCCTACCTCAATAGCATCTCATGATACTTGCAGGATACTTGTAGCCCCACTACAGGCTCTCAGCCACGCTGCCTCTCTCCCTTCTCATCCCTCACAACCAACACACAGGACATCCCCCCCGCCAATCTGAACAAGGTCTATTGCTCTCAAGAAAGAGGTATCTCCTTTCCCAGCCACCCACCCCCCCAGAAGTCCTTTGGAGCAAGGAAGCCAAGCCACAGTCACCTCCTTCCGCTGACTTCCACATGCTTTTTGATGTTCAGCTCTGTTTCCTCCCCACCCAGATTCCCCACAGCGAGGAAAGGGTGGGCAACACGAGGCAAGACTTCTCGAACCAGCAAACAGTGTGGAAATGTCATGGCTGTTTGAATATGTTATTTGATGTTACACGTGAACATGTTTCTAGATCTGAACTGATCACCCTGGAAAATAACCATCTCACCTCTATTTATTTGTTAAATACACCCAGCGGGAATTCCAGCCCCAGTGTATTTTGGAATGGCCATAGATACCAGTTGCCTGAAATGGGGAAGCAAAAAATGCGGGGGAAGAGGAGCGTGCAGACTCTATGACTCCAGTGCACTCAGGTAACAGCTCTTCTCCACTAGTTCTTTAACTTGTGTTAAGTACATCTATATCTAGCACTGGTAAAATAATTTCTGTTCAGAAAATCTAAGTAAAAGATTTGTTGCCAAATGAAAGAGTCTAACTAGCTGTCTAGCAATATTAACAGTAATGCTTAGATTTCAGCATTTTCTTTTTGCTTAGTTTCTTTGAGGGAGGGGGACATTATCTTATTTCAATATCAGCCAGGGATATTTAAGTCACCTGATTTTTCATCCCCAAAAATGTTAAAACTTCAAGTTATGCTAACTTTTCCCCCACTTTCGAACAGCTCTTCTGTGAGAGTGCATACCTGTAAGTAAATAAGTAAAAGAGCTATTGAGCCTCATCGTTGCTTCATGTTCCAGGAGGAAGGCAAGATTGCCACAAAGCATGCTCAGTTTATCTAGAGCCTTAAGCACAATTTTGTCTTTATCAATTTATTGCTAGAGGAGAGTAATTATCTGAACTGCATTCATGAAAGGCGTTACCAGAAATGAAGAATGGAATAATAATGGTAAAAGGAAAATGAGACAACTGGTTTCCCTTCCCCCCATATCCAGGAGAAAAACGTGAGGGGAGGGTACATCTTGTTTTGAAAATTTGAAGAAGGGAACAAAAGCTCAGCTGGGACTCATAGCTAATAAAACATAATGATGTTATTGTTGCTGCTGTTGTTGTTATTGTCATTATGCCTGTAAAGCAAAAATGCCATCAAATGGTCATGTTATCGCTGGTACTGTTTATGACGCAACTGAAAAATAGATTAATTGCCTTAAGAATATGTTATTCTCACTGAAGCACATTGGGGTGGAGGAGATTAGTCAATGCCCGAGACCCTTTCTTGGCCACAGACCACTTCATACCTAACGTGGGTGAGCTGACAAATTTTCATCTCCACCGTCATCACCTTGCTTGGACAGCTTCATACTCAGCCTTTCCTCATGAAAATATGAATGTGTCCTCAATGCCTTCTAGTCATATGTTGCCTTTGAAATAGGCTCTGATCAATCATTTCTCTCTCAGGTATGTGTACCTGGGGCTGACTTTGGTGTTGGGCATGGTGTCCATTTTCTTCAGTGTTGCTGTCCTTTGGGTTCTCCAGAAAAGTTCTTCTCCACAAGATGAGACCCTCTCAGCCAACGGGGAGAGAGGCACCTGTGGGACAAAGAGCAGGAAAGCTAATTTTGTCAATAGTGACCATTTAATTCAGACACCTTACTGGCCAGAAAAGGAGACTAGACTTTAGGAAAACTGAGATCCATCATGATTTTACCCAGCCACTGGTGTTCCAGGCAAAAATTCATCATCAGTGAAGCAGTATTTTAGTATCCACCTTGAAAACTGTCACCTTCATGTAATACTCATGTAAACACCAAACGCAAAGACAACCATTTTAGCATACGTACCGCTCTGAAAACAGTGCTCGCTGTCTGTTCTGCTGAGTCGGTACCAGTTAAGTGAGGGGATTTGTAATGGCTGGGAAGGTTCAGCTTTCACTTGCAACAAGAAGCTGGTTCTATGGCTGCCCTTCATTTCAATTCTTTCTCATCAAGCTGCAACAGCCACTGCTTCCCCTCAGCCTCTTCCTGTGTGTGAGGGGCAGTGGGGAGGCTGAAACACAGCTCTCTCCACCTTGGTATCAGCACATGAAGAGCTGGTGCCCAAAACCTGACTTGGTAACCCGAAAGGTGTAGGGGTATCCTGCACATAGATCACCCTTACAAGCAGTGCAGCCTGGGGCAGGGGAAAGGTGGTTTGCTGGAAGGACAAATCAGGTACGGGCTCTGGGCATCTCATGAATTCAATCCATAACATGTAGGATGTTAAATGTTGTAGTTAAGGATTCTTTTTCAAGTAGCTCTATTATAGCACAACAATTGTAGCAATAAAAGTTGTCATTACAGTCAGAGAGATCACAAGAGTATAGTTCAAAGGAAACTGGAATAAAATCAGAGCTTTTTTAGGTCTCCAGCAGTTTCTTGCTACTTGCTAGTACTCAGTGAACTGGATAATTCCATGCATTTGATACAATGTAATGACGCCATGATACAAGATACATATGATTTATTTTTTAAAAAGCTATGACAAGGCATCTTGGGAGCAATAAAAAGAATTCAAAGACCAGATGATCTGGGGGTTTTCCTTTTAATTTGTATTTGCTAGCTGAATCTAAGACATGTATCACAGTATTAATTTATGTATCATTTTGCGATTTGACAATATTTGGTATTAAATAAATTTGGCATGGGGAGTACAATGGAGAGCTGTTTAACATGGAACAAAATCTCAAAAATGCTTGCACTGAAAAAGGTAGTGACAGCACCACTACAAATGATATCCTCTAAAGCAACTAGAATTTTAGAGCACAAGATGTAATGTAGTCTTCACCCTTCATCATAATATTGGCAAAGCAATCTTATATGACATCATCTGCATCTCAGCAGTGATTGTATGTACCCCGCTACCTAGCTGAGCTTGCAGATCGAAGGCAGCTGTGGAGCCTTTTCTATGGGATGCATAGAAAGGACAGATGTATAAGAAAGGGATTTACTGAACTTCATAAATGAAAAATGTTTACAGTATTCCACTAGGTAACTACATAATCCATTCAGTAAGAATACCAAGAAGAAGGATGCTGTTTAAGCACTAAATGTCTGCAAAAGGTAAGGATTTAAAGCCACCACTTGGGAAAATGCAGTTGTCAGAGGAAGGACCAGTGCCACCCACCATTTCTCATGTGGGTGAAAGTTTAGACAGTGACCTGGAATATTGGAGACCCAGTCCCTTATCTCAGCTCTTTGTTCTTCCAGATGAGCATCAGAGGCTACAGACCTACAGGATATTGAAGAGTGGTGTCTTGTCATTTTGCCTTGTGCAACTGGATATCAAACTAAACAAGCAAAATTAAAATAATTAGAAAGTTTGAGAATATGGGGGTAACTGAAGAATTATGGCTAGGGTGAATCACACAGATCAGCACTGCAGTCTCCTATCTCATTCATACTACACCATTATAACCCAGCAAAAAATGCCAAACCACATCAGCATCCAGGAGTAAGAGAGATGCTTGGGAGGGCACTTTTCATAGCAATGAGCTGTCAGATCCAGTGAAAGAAAGGGGTGAGTACACACTAGCATAAAGAGGAGGGAAATCTGCATTTCAACTCAATACTTGGTATTGTATGTTTGTCAAATAAATAGGGATGATTCCTAACTTGTGAATCAGTCTTGGCAGGTTTTACGGCAGGAAGACAGCAGCATAGCAATGCTGAAGCTGTCATGGAGGCAGTTCTGCACATGTCTGGCAGTAAGGTGGAGAGGAAAACTCAGTGGCATACAGGACAAAGAAAGAAATTAAGAGACATAAACTTACGCTAATCAAATTCAGAAAGAAATATGGGGAAAAAAAAACAACTTGTCACCTAAGCTCCTGTCTGTAAGTCTGTACTTAGTGAATAATTCTTTTAAAGCATGGGCTGTTTTTCCATACTCTATTTTCTTTACACGTGAAAGGAAGAGGAATACTATAAAACAAGAATACTATAAAACAATTTGTTTCGGTAAGTCTTATTTTCATTATGGTTAAAAAAATTCACTCTTTTCCTCTCACCCTTCAGCAACAATAATACTGAAAGTTACCAAGCAGATATAATCCATTCCCACTTTGAAGTATTTTAAAGTCTTCTACTTTATTTTCATATTTCAAGTGGTAATGTGGATGCATGGATGAGTGTATGACTTGAGGCACATATTCTGAATTTCTTATAATAGATGAACAAACGTTCTTAATACTAAGGGATTTGGACCTGTTAGGTTATTCCTATCAGAATTCTTCATCTTGAAATAAATCTGCAACTGGTAATGTCACACAGAGGTCAATGAATCTGGGTTTATTTTTTTCTTTTTAGAATTAGAATTATTAAACCACAATTGAGAGATGGCAAAGAAGTAAATGCCTTTCATCTTCAAAGGTGAGATTGTTAAAAGAACTGGCGGAGATTTCCTAACCACTGATGTCAGCCTTTGAGGCCACAGTGGGACCCACAACCTTGTTAAGAAGTACTCACAGGCTGTATGCCATGTAAAAATGGCATTAGTATATTTTCATCTTATAGCAAGGGCCCTAATTGGCACATACAGGAGAAAGCAAGGGTAGCAGCCCATGTCAGATAATGAGATGTGCAACCAGGACTGAGCCATGTGAGCCAGTGCACATTTTCTCTTCTACTTCCCAGCAAAGAATGCAATGCTCAGATTATATGTCTTATTTATAGGCAAATCATTTATAATCATGTCAGGAAAGTAGCATTGAGGAATTCTAACAAATGAAGATGGCAAGAACACGAAGTCAGTAGACTGTGGAAACAATGCATTTGATCTATACATCTGACATCTGATCTATACATCTGACATCTATAGCTCAGGTCCTCCCAGCGTTTGAAAGGAGCACCAGTATAGGGGGAAGCATCTTCAGGTCACAGGCAGCAGAGTAGCTACCCCATGCTTGTGCCACTGTGAAATTGCTATATATGAACCTGTGATCTGGGGGAATTGCAAAAGACAGACAAAATTATATTAATGAATCAAAAAGAATGCATAGACTGAATAATGATAGGCTGCCTCCTTGATGTGCTCAAAATAATGAGTAAGATTGATGCATGAAACAATTATTGTGATATTTTTAAATAGCAGCATGATTAGTACCATCTGTGAGAAAACACTGACATCACCACTTTGGCTATTGTGACTGCTGATGACACAACACAGTTTAACTATTAAAAATATGCAACTTAGTTCTGCGTGACACTGAAAGAAAAAAAGTGAGTCCTCTCGAGAAGCTAGGAAGAGCACAGTCCATAGACTTGCAAGTAGCTAAGTCACAGGGGTATTTTAAAAGTATTCATAGAGAACCATTACTGATAACCTTGAGAAATATGAAGAAAGTGAGCACACTTGTTTAACAGAAGATGAGTATAGGAGGATATCGAAAACTAGCAATTACAGCATAAATGAAAAGTTTAATCTCACCAATAACAGAATTATGGGGATAGAAGTTTGCACAGATTTAAATAATGAATTGGTGAAGAGAAAAAGCTTTTGAAGGCTCTTTAAAACATAAATACCACCTCAGAAAGGCCCAGAAAAAAAAAAATAGAGAAAAAGAAGAAAAAGAATAATCCCCAAAGTAATCCCTGGAAAGTGAAAGAGCATATGAGAAAGCATGGTTATGTATAAGACTACAAGGATGGCCAATAGCAAGAGAGATTAGGACTGGCTGGCGTAGAAAGAAAGATAAAAAAAAAGAGAACTGTAAGTGGCATGAGAAGTGTTGCTAAGTATCAGTTGCTCACCATCTCTTTCGACACAAGAACTAGAAGGCACCAAACCGAGATAGCAGAGGGGGTTCAAAACAGAGGAGCTATCTTTTCACACAACAGGTGTGAGACCTGAGAAATACTTGCAAAGAAATTTTGTATACATAGCTTTAAAGAGAGACAGGATAGTAAGAGAAAAGTAAAAATGTCATGTGGGTCCTGCCTTTGCCTCCTGGTTCTGCTCAAGATATCTCTTGTATTTTGAAACTAATTGGCTACTGGGAAAGCAGTAGAGATTTCGTATGTGGTGCTGATTCACACTTTCCCTAAGCATCCTCCCTTGGCTACTGTCTGTCAGGGCTTTGAGGGCACAGATGGTCTTGACCTGTCTCTGGTGGGAGGGACCCGCGTCCACTTCTGCCCATGGGCCCCAGAGCCCCAATTCAGCTCCAGCCTGTGCATACAGTCCTGATGAAAGCCATTTTGGAGGTTGTCCTGGGTTTAGCAGCAGCAGTCATTTTTTCTCCTTCTTGGTAGCTGGTGCAGTGCTGTGTTTTGAGTTTCGGGCTGGGAACAAAGCTGATAAAAATGATGTTTTGGTTTGGCCAGGGACTTTGTGAGTCTCATGCTCTGCCAGGGAGGAGGGGAAGCCTGGAGGAAGCAGAGACAGGACACCTGACCCAAACTGACCAAAGAGGTATTCCATACCACAGCACGTCATGCCCAGGGGGGAACTGGGAGGTACCCAGACGGACAGGGGGTCGGCCGGGTCGGACTGGTGGTTTGGCGCGTGGCATTGTACTCCTTTCCTTTGCTATTTTCTCTTATCATTGTTGTCGTTGGTGGTAGCGGTGGTGATTCGTATTGTACATTAGTTGCTAGACTGTTCTTATCTCAGCCCATGGGAGTTGCATTCCTTCGATTCTCCTCCCCATCCCTCTGGGAGCGGGAAAAGGGGGGGGGGGGCAGCCCCTGGGGAAGGGGGGCGACGGACTAACATGGGCCTCGATTGCTTCCAGCCTGGCACCACTCACTGGGAGTAAGTGCACAAGCTGTCTTGGTTGGGGTTAAACCACGACAGAGGTTTTCATGTGCTGCCCTCTCCCTTGCTCTTCCTGAATTATTGTCTGGATTTCCAGGATTGTCCTAGGACCTGACTTCTTAATTTGCCTTTGGCTGATGACCATTGGCCTGAGACTGGGACCAGCAGCTGTTGCTGTCTCAGATCTGCTGACCCTGATCAGGGGTGTTGGTGCACAGCTTGAACTGGGGTTGGCCCTCAGCTATCATCTTGTGCCTCCTTGTAGAGCAGCCTCAGTCAGCAAAAGCTTTTGGAATATAGGGGTCACAGGTCTAACAGGCTGGTTGTCCTGTCTTATACCCTGGAGCATTGCTAAGCAAGTACTGCATGAGGCAGTTCTTCATTCATTGCTAATCAATCTCTGGAAGAAAGACTCTAGTTTCTGTAAAAGTTATGAGAGCAATTTAAAGGTGGGACCCTTTTTCAGATTTAGAGTACTTATTAAAATGACCTTACTTAGGCAATACTGGGTTAATATCATCAAGAGGTTGGGTAACCACCACGTCTTCATAGATTAATACAGTTTATTGAATTTTGAAGAGAGTAAATAAGGAAAGGATTTAGTGGAGAGCAAGCAGAACACATTTTCACAGCTTGATGGTGACCAGGTCAGGAAACTTTCTCTCATGGCTGTTGAGCAAGGTAACTTTTTGGAAGGTTGTTGTACATGGTGATAGGCAGAACCCTCTCCTTGACCCCATGATGTTGGCACTTGTAAAACAAAATGCTGAGGACTGAGGACTTGCTTAGAAAAAAAAAAAAAAAAACCTGTGAAAGTGTTATGCAGTCAGCAAAAATTTCTTTATTTAATTCTGCAGACAAAAGTAGACTTTGTTTCAGTGCCTGGAAATCAAACAGAACAAAATTGCATTAGAAATAAGACCATTTTTCTCACTACAACAAATGTCTTGGGAATGTTATAGATTTTTCTGTCAAATCAAGAGTTGACCATTCTTGTAGAAGATCTGCTCTACTGTAATAAGACAGATGAACAGCTTAGTGAAGTTGTGCTGTATATAATGCCAGGTATTCAATTATAGAATCATGGAACAGTTTGGGTTGGAAGAGACCTTGAAGCTCATCTAGTTCCAACCCCCTGCCATGGGCAAGCACACACCCTGCTAGACCCATCCAACCTGTCTTTGAACACTTCCAGGGATGGGGCAGCCACAGCTTCTCTGGGCACCCTGTTCCTGTGTCTCACCACCCTCACAGTGAAGAATTTCTTCCTAATATCTAATCTAAATCTACTTTAGATTTAGATCTACTAATCTTTCAGCTTAAAGCCCTCATCCCTTGTCCTATCCCTACATGCCCTTGCAAAAAGCTCCTCTCCAGCTTTCTTGTAGGTCCCCTTTAGGTACTGGAAGGCTGCTGTAAGGTCTTCCTGAAACCTCTTCTCCAGGTTGAACAAGCCCAAC